TGACTGCGTTTGTATGAACGGGATGTGTTCATTAACCGAGATGAATAATATATTACAATAAATATATAAATATATATCTGAGCCTAAATTCTTCTCCGCTCCATACAATACATAATATCTTGTGTCACAACAGTTGGTTAAAGTGTTAAAGTGTCAAAATGTAACCAAAATACAAACTTATTTTCCCCTCTAAACTAATGTTATAAAGAAAAAAAAATTTGTTTTATTTGTAATGGATAAATTTAAAAATACTTAACCGATTTTCAATATCAATTTACTCGTAGGAAGTTCATTATCGAATAAAATGAGCTATATTTCATTTTCAAATAAGCTGTTTGAAGCCAGCGTGGGATGATAATTTATAATACTAGTAAGGATTATTAACAAATCTATAAAAAAATATATTCTAGCTTTTAGTTTTCGACATCTACCTACTGAAACTTAACAGAGGGAGACTTTGTACAAAAGTCGTTTGTTTGGGTACCTCTGTACCATTAATGTTTCAACCGTGAAGCAGTTGTGTTTGCATGATTGTGTTTCGGTTTGAAGTGTGGAATATCGCAGTGAAATTACAGGGTACAGGCTAACACCTTAGCTCTCAATAATGGCAACGCATGGGGGTATCATAGCCGATACAGTATACTTTATTATGCCTATGGTACTGATCATGTCTTTTGGCGACGGTTACCACTTTCCATCAAGTGAGACGTCAGCTTGTTTGTCATTCTAAGTTGCATAAAAAAACTTGACTAAAAACAAAAATAAAAAAAATATCAGTACAAATAAATTGAAATTGTATTTTAATTAAAAAAACACAAATAAACATAACAACCTTAAAACAAGACATGCTGTTCTTAAAAGAGCCTCTTGAATCTGAGCTCTGATATTTCAAATATTTTTATTTAATAGGGGGAAAAGGATTATTAATGAGGACTCTGGACTCACTGAAGCCACACTGCATATACCGATAGCGCGGGCTATGTGGCAATTTCATTATCATCTCATAAAAAATAAAATATTAACATCGACATAAACCGTACTATTATGCTTACCTATAATAACTGCACATTTTAAACACTTAATAGAGCACGAAGTTCTACAACAAAAATCAACCTAAACAGTTATTATAAAAAGGTCTGATTCGGACGTCGATTACCGTTATTTAATTCCATCAAAACATTCAACTTTAAAAAGTAATATCAAACCTCGACGTTCTTTCGCTGTAAAAAAATGTAAGATCTTATGTAGAGCCAAGTATGATATTTTATCTCTAATTGTCCATTAAACATATTTTTCGAAAGTTCCCCACTTTAAAATTATTCTATTATTTGAATTTCAAATAATGTTTTCTCATTATATTTTAACTGTCTTAGAAGAGTTTTACAAATCTTGCATTTGTTATTATGTATTTTTCTTCTATTAGGTGAATATCACGGTTGAAAGTTTTGATAACTTGTGAAAAAATTATATAAAAATTAACAGCTTGCCCTAGCTTCACTTCCATCCCATCTTGAGTCCCATAAATAATAAGTAACAGTAAATAATAAGTAACAGTAAAAAAAAAACAAGCAATTGTATTGCGTGTTTTTTTAAGATTCTACTTAGCGCATAAAACTAAACACTTTCGTCCCACAACTTCAAAAAATGCCTGTAATAAAATTTGCTTATGATCGATAAACTAACGAGGGACAATTTTCCAGAAATGCGGAAACGAGGGTTTCTTAGATTTATATTAAACACCTAAATTCAAAGTTATAAATTTTTAAATTTATAATTGACGAGTGAATATCCTTCAATTTTAAACTCATTTGTCTCAAAATTTTCAAAAGAAGGCAGGAAGGCTTTGTTTTTTTTTATTCTAGTGAATCTCATGGTAGATATATCAAATGCTCAAATTTAAAAAATTAATGATTGCCTTCGTCTGAAATTTTATTGAAGAAATTTTCTTGTTTAACAATCGAAAATAAGACTATAGACTAAGAGTGTCCACTGTTAGATGTTGCCTCCAATGTTCTATATATGTATATTTGCTACCGTTCCGTGACCTTTTAAAACGAATGAAAAGTAAATCAAGTTGCTGCCTCAAACTTGAGTGAAAAACGTTAAACTGCATAGAAAAAATGTACTTAGGTATTCATAAAAAGTATGGCATGAATCACGGTTAGTTGTTCTGTGAGATCAACGCAACCATGTTACGTTGTGTGATGGACGGTCGTTTCAATTTAAGCGCCGGAGACAACCTATTATAAGGTTGATCGTCATCTTCCTCGAATAAAGGTGACCTGTATACCTACACAAATCTACATAAACTATCAACATGGCCATCTCATTAATAATTTAAAATTAACGATCACGTTAATAGATGACTATAAATCCAAAACATTTTTATAACAAGTTTACAATTCATCCGGAACACGTTTTATTCTGTATCAAAATTAAATGTATGGTGTTAATTAACAAAACACAGTAATTAATCATTTTCTGTATTGAAAAAAAATCTTAATATCCTTGTGTGTTTGCTTCCTGAACACATAATAAGATCGTCAGAAAAACGAGTATAAAATAAAAAAAAATTGATTACAATACATTTAAAATTATTTATTGATGTCTAGGAGTTGCTATCAAAATGTAACAAAATTGTCACACATATAAATTAGTATATTATTCATTTACCTATTTGTTTACTTCATAAATTCCATAAACGCATCACCATATATGACCTTTGTGTGTGTACATTCATATGTACAAGCATTTAAAAAAAACTATATAATATACAGAACTGTTTATGATATATAAATAGCTAATTATTTGAAATAATTAAATTATCCTATTAATTTGTTACCTATTAAAGGTTTCGTTCCAATTTTAGTCTTTTACGCTTCAATAAAACGAACTATTAAGTAACAAGAAAAGGCTATAAAATATTAAAAATGATAGATATGTATACTACAACAACTTATCTTCTTACTAGACATAGACAGAATCGATCATATATTCATAGGTTTAAACTGGTGAAACAATCCCAACTGCAGTTGTAAGACTTAAACCCCAAAAACCATAGCACATATAATATTGGATTACCCAAGATTTGCAAAAAAAGTATATTATTGCGAATCAATCAATATTCTACATAAAAAAACCCTCAATTTTCTTTTATTTTACTATTTACCCCAGAAATAAAGTTCTGAAATCCCAAAATTGCAATTCTGCTTACAGTGCTATGAGCTGTCTCATCTAGACACTTGGAAAAACCAATCCAAAATTATCTTAGAGATAAGTACATTATAAATACTAGTTAGGTTCAAAAGTACTATTTAACATAATGTTTTATCTAATAAATAAAAAAAAAATAGATTTGGAAACAACGAAAGAAAGAAATATTCAAGTAAACTTAGATTTTAACATTTTTTAATTGTAATTTTTTCATTATTGGCCATTCGGAACGCAATTTCAGCCATGAAATTGAATAATGAAACTTAGCTATTGCTTTTTTTTGCAAAAAGTTTAACCGACAGTTTAAGTTTAACAGATCATAAATTAAGGGGTAAATCCTGAATTAACACTACTAATTAAAACTATTGCTAAAAAGTAATTTCTTGTTTCATGTTCCATTATTTAATATATTAGTAACATGCTTAATAAATTATTTTCCATCACAATCTAAAAGAACTCGCAAATTTTTCCAACATTAATTTTAATAAAATATACAGTTAGATGATTTAATTAATTTGGCATATATTAATTGGTATATTAAAAATATAAATACCTACAGCCCAGAGTTTATATAGTACTATATTTCATTTATATAATTTAGTGTATTTCTTATCACAGACTGCAATATAAAACCGAAACAATATAATTTGTTACGATTGTAACTTCAATTTTAAATACGTGTGGCAAATATTATAAATATACCTATTTGACCTATTTATTTTTATGTCTCTGAAATACTGCTTTGGTCTTGCATTTGTGTCTACAAACAGGTTTGATTGACCATATAGATATTGTTCCCAGAAGTCAACAGTGCAAACGGTTCAAGCTCGAGTAAACCAGTCGAGGCTCCCACACACGGCTCGCCTCCGATTCTGATAGCCGTTAGATGAGACCATAGAGTTAATCTTATCCTACTAATATTATAAATGTGAAAGTTTTTAAAGAAGTTTGTTACCCAATAATACTTAATTGACTATGTGGATTTGTATAAAATTTAGCATATAGATAGACCATGTTACATGTCATAAATTAACACATATTTTAAATGTCTAATTTTTATCACGGCGACGTGATCACTTGGGATAATATAAGTATTATGTATATCTATAATCGAAATAGATAATATTGCCAGTAAAATCTTTATACTCGTACATTTTATTAAAGCCGTACGATATAAAAGCTTTGCCATCTTTTTGCCGCAAAAAAAAATAATTCTTGTTGAACTATGAAAAGCCACTTATGATCTGTGTTATCATGAGAACATTAGGATTGATAACAATAACATTATTCATTTATTAGATGCATGCATAACATAAGAATCATATAAATCTCGTTTTACATAGATGCCTATTTAAATTTATACTAACTTTCAAAATAAACTAAAAACATCTCGACTTTATTCGGATTCATCAATAATAAACCTATTCTCTTCTATTCCGGTATAAAATTATTTCCTTATGATACTTAATGTAAAGGATAGTACCTGCGGCATAGGCCTTACTTTGTATATTTTTTAATAAATTTATTAGTTACATCTTATAGCAAAAACTTACTACAAAATAAATAGAAATTCCAATAAATGTGCAGTAAAGAAACTAATCTTCTCTAATTCAAATTGATTTGGCCGATATCTATTAATACAAACTTTAATTTATTGTGTTTTAATCTAACAGGTTTTTCTAGTGTTTGTCCCATTTAAAGCTCTTTGCATTGTTTTCGTGGATATTACAATACTCACTGTACCAATTCGTGTTAGAGTTTTATTGATTACTTTTTCTTGTTATCAGGTACACAAGAAGTAAACATGGCAATGAAAGAGTGGCTGCAATGGTTGCCGCCACCGCGTTCTCTGCTGGCGCTGCTGCTGGCAGTGGCTGGATTCAGCGGACGACTGTTCGCTTCACACTTCACACACTCGCCGACACTACTTGTCGACACTTGTCACTCACTCTGCAGACTAGTGGGACTGGTGACCACTCTATTAGCATATAAGGTAATTAAATAAAACTGTGATAAAAAATTTATTAAATGTCTCAACCCTCCGTTTACATAAATACAAATAATTTACTAATGTAATCTTTTGGAAGAATCAATAAAGAGAATCAGTTGACACAGAGTATACTGTTTTGATACCCTCCATGACATTTGATTCGGACTGGATAGATATCTTTTGGAAGAATCAATATCCGTCGGATAGATATCTAATCCGTCTGCAATGTCACCATCCTATGAATCCATTAAAATCATATCATAATATAATCAATGTAACAACTTAACTTGTATTACACTTTCGGGATTGCATTTGAGCATACTACCGGACATAGAACTTTAGAATACTCACTGACTCCCTGCGACGTATTTAAGGTTAGCATTCCATGTAGAAAATAAATGTACTGTGTTTGCCTGTACGAAATCACCATTAGGGAACTTTTCTTTCCCATCAATTGTCGATTTCACGACTACGATGTAGCTATATATGACCGGCCCATTGATATTTCAGTTTATTATTTTTCGGTCACTTTCAGTTTTTTTGCAGATATTTTTTCACTTAATTTAACGCTATCTTTAGATTTCTTACAGAGTACCTGCCTCCTGTTAGTAGGAGCATTGAAATATCACATGTCTGTCGCGCAAAAACTTATTAGTCATTTCCTCGTTCTATAATTTTATTATTATGTAAAAGATAACTAGGTAAAGATAAAAATATTAACTTTAGCTAGTTTACAATACTGAGAACACTAACTACCTATATTCATCTGAGCTAAGTATGCACGAGTTTTGTCAACATATGTTACTTATCAAAATTAAAACATAGACAACTTTCATAGATTAAAAACAATAACATAGGGTTCAAAACAAGTTTTTGTTCTAGAACGGTAATATTATTATAAAAAATGGCCTGAATGCGAATTACTTATAATTTTATTGCAATAGATAGCCATTATTTTAAAATAATTTATAAATGTTTCGTTTTATATATGCCTACTAAATATTATTATATAAGACGCAGTATGAGTTACTCTTATTTTTAATCAAATTCAAAGATATGACCTTCGCTGGTACTGTCTAAACTTATGTACAAGTATAAACCATATGGATACAGATCAATATAGACAAAGCAAATAAATTTAGTTTGTATAAAAAATAGACGTAAGTATCTAAACAACAATATGCTTCGATTTGATCAGAAAAGAAACTCCGAATTGATATTTATCTTTTGAGATTTTGTAGGCACGCAATGTACCTACATAAAGATTCACCATCTATTTAAATCTATGTCGAAAATATCAACGCTCATAAAATAATGGTCGTACAACAATAATATATTATCACGATTTCTTTTGTCTTAAACAGTATGAAAGAGCTGATGAAGTAGCAGGAAGGGAAGGTCGTCTCCGTAACACGTTCGGTTGGGCGCGTATCGAGGTGGTCGGCCGTTTGTCTGTCCACGTGCTGTTTGCGTCCTTCGCACTTGCGTTGGTAGTCAACGCGCTGCAACTTGGTGTACACTCGTCGCATGGACAGCCCCCGAGGTACCCGAAGGTTATCGTGGGCTGCGCGGTGATAGGGTTGCTGCTTCACGCTATCAACTATATGCTGCTCGCTGGTTAGTAGTTAGTACTCTGTATTTATGATAATTATATATTTTATCATTGCACCGCTCGCCACCGACAGGGCTCTCTCCTCAATTCATCCTCATACGATATTGTGCAAATTGCACAATGTTTTTAGTAAATGAGAAAAGATTAATAAAAAAATTATTCTATAACATCTACTTTATAAATAACATTTAGCTTTAACTATAAATGTAATAGGCGATTGTTTATGATATCAGTTACAAGCGTGAATGAGGTAAGTTGAAGTTATTTTCAAACAAACCATTCAAGTTTATGAACGTTTAACTGTGCGAAACAAAACATACCACTGCTCTGATTAATTAAGATTTTAGAACATTATGACAATGAATTCCTCTCTCATTTAAATAATGACAAAGCGACATCAAAGGAGGTTCTAATTTTACTTATTTGTATGTATTATGTCCTATATAAATGTTACGCTTATAGTACATTACTGCAGCGGCCAGTAACTGAGGCATTGATGGACGAACGTGCAAATGTGGGCCGAGACGTAGCCGAGCCACACATACGTGAGTCCATCAATGCCTAGTTGTGGCCAAGACCTGTATAGTACTTTTCTCAAACAATGCGCGGAAATCAAAAACACAATTTTACTTTTTAAGTTCAATGACGAACAACGAACAATAATAATTTTTCACGCGCCATAATGTTCCTTTGTTTTTTTTTTCAATAAATAGCTTTCTATTTGCAAGCCAATTCGAAATTTAAATAAAACATTTTATTAGTTATCTCCTTGGTAGCCATGTTTCAAAGTAAAAGTACTTTTTCTCAAACATGCTTGGAAATGTGAGCATTATTTTGACAATCTTCTTCGAGATAAATCAAAATTGCCGTACTGGTCATCTACATGCGGGCAGCGGCCGGCAAAAGTTGTATGAAAATCCATATCTGTCGTGTTTTGCGGCCAGATAAATTACTATGTAAACTCATATCCGTCCTGTAATTTAAAAATGGAACGACCTTTTTTCTTTGCCCTCTAAAGTCGTGTCGATTTTCCGACAAGAAAGGGAGCGAAAGGGGTGTTCTTCTCTAGAAATCTGTCCGATTCTAGAATAAGGGCATACGGGTATGGGACCCCGGCCTCCCAAGCCGCTGCAGTGTCCCGATCCTTTCCGCAATTGCAGTGTCCCCCCTTTCCTTTCCCACATAAGTCCCTTATTCCTCTCATTTACCAATTTCCTTTAAGCATTACCAACGTTCCCTTCCTTTTTTTTTTCAATCCTTTGTTGTTTGTTGGTGGTTTCCGCCACCTACGGTATCGAGATACCGTAGGTGGCGGAAACCACCAACAAATGCATTCCCAAAGAGGGTTGACGTCAGGCAGGCGGTCGATCATAAAACCAAGCCAAATCTTTTTGTAATATAGATAAAAAACATATTACGCCGACTTCATATAATAATTGGGATAAGGGTAGGAAGAAAAAGAAATGGGGGCGAAAGGAGCTACATGATGCTATTTTTTTTACTCAGCGTTAAGATTTTTATTTATATACATTACTAAAAAAGTAATGTAAAACTTGCCTGAAACACTGTTTAATGTATTTTAGGTCGTGAACTCAGTTACAGCCGACGACTTAGCATGACCGAAGGCGGAGGCGTCGTACTGAAGACAGGAACAGGGGAACCTATACTCGCACATGTGCCCACAGATATTGCCAGTGAGTATCATATAATATCTATGTTGGTATTTTATGTTACATACTGTAACATATTACTTTATTTATACTTGCTCGATATATGGCCACACGGTCCTGAGTGAAGCATGAAGACAAAACAGTAAATCGCAGCCACTTTGTTGTATAATTTAATATGTCTTAATGTTCTTTACTGATTGTCTACGAAATTATATATTTACTAAATTTCATCCAATGTTTTTACATAACATAGAAGTTTTTTTTTTTTTTGCATTCTTCAATTAAGATAAAAAATGATAAGATTTATTTATATTCAATACTTTTAACCCAATTACAATTATTTAATAATGCCAGTAATGTATGATGTATATCAAATGAGTATGCATATTTATACGTAATATTCACGTGACTTTAATATTAAACGTATACTTATTGGTTAAGTAACATAAATCTATTAAAATTAATTAATTCTATGTGTACTATAAATTTCAACACACCATCTAAATAATACACGAAATAATGTTTGGGTATATGTATCACATATTTTAAATAAACTGAGTAAATTAAAAAAAAAATATTCAGTACTTCACATTTATCTAAACAAAGTATAAATATATATAGTGTCAATACCCACGATAGCGGCCTCAAAAGTAACTTCCAGTTATGCCCAAGTCTATAATAATAATTACAATACTGATTTCTCTCTGCCTACCCCGCAAGAGACTTGCAATTGTTCAATTACATAATTACATACATAGTATGTATACTAAAAAGTTATCACAAGTATAGTGATTGGATAAGAAAACTTGTCGTTACCTTACTCATTCTCAGGATACTGTAACTTATGTTAATAGTAATGTTATTATGGCAACAAAGAACAAGTGAATAAAGTTTAGTTTTCTCTAATAGTGCGCATATCATTTATTTATGCGAAGAGGCTAATATCTAAATGGCGATATCTATACTTTCAATTAATATTAATAAAATAAATAAATATATTCACGACTATAGTCTCTAATATGGTTGTCAAACGTGAACGTCGACTGCAATTGTGGTGAATATAACACTCAATTTCATTCGCCGACTACTTATTATACGTTTGTATAATTAACATCAATATATATGCACTTAATTAATTGATATGATTCTGTACCAGGTAGCCTATTTGTAATCGGAGCTGGCCTCACATTGGAATGGGAGCCAGAAGCCGCACGCATCGCTGACCCCGCGATTTCGGCACTCGCTGCCATCATTCTCGTCATCTTAAACTACCCTTTCAGTAAGTGACCATAATTAATAACACAAAATATTATTACTTGAATAAAAAATGTTAGCAAAGGAATCAAGTGACTTCATTCCTATAAACATAACCTGTAGATCAACCATCACATGGTCCTTTCTAGGTAGGAACTATCACAATTGTTTAAAAAATAATGAAAGGTGAAAATAATATTATATGCCAACAAAAACGCGCAGCCGGCGCTTCAATTCCATTTTCATCCATTAAAACAGTATTATTTCTTATCTATATGTATAAAAAATAGTATTTATATCTATATGTAAACATATTTTTAATTTAATTGAACATGAAGCTAGCAGTGAATTTAAAACAAAAACATTTTCAACTAGTGTAAAATCAAAGTTTTGTGACTGGGCCACGTTTGGTATTTATAAGTCTAGGGCTAATCTTTACGAACTTTACGAAAAACGAAGCTATATATCCGATCCCTTATTTCATGAACATGTAAAATCTTATTCGAAAATATTTAAAAAGGTTTGTCATACAGCTAAGTCTCTCTATTTAGGTAAAATAATAACTAAATCTAAAGATAAAATAAAAGCCACTTGGAAAGTAATAAATAGCGAAACTGGAAAAGTTAATTTTCAAAATAGCAAAATAGCTTTAAATATTAATAACAAATTGGTAAATTCCGACACAGAGGTCGCGCATACATTCGAATCTTATTTTACTAATATTCCATTAATTACGACACAGGCTCTAAAATCTTCCCCTGCTGTAATTTTTCCAAATGTGCAATTTTTCCCTGCTTCTGCTGCTGAAACTTTACTAACAGACAATGTTAGCAAGTCATCAGCTGTATTTAACTTTAGACATACATCAACAGTAGAAATAATGAAAATATTTAAACAACTTAATAATAAAAAAACAGAGGATCTATGGGGTATATCTGTTAAAATACTGGATAGTATAATGGAAATTATTGCGCCCTCTCTTGCTTTTATTTTCAATAAATGTATAGATGAAGGTAAATTTCCTAATATAATGAAAATTAGTAAAATCATACCGCTTTTTAAATCTGGAGATAGGAGTGACCCAATAAATTATAGACCTATATCCATACTCCCAGCACTCAGTAAAATTTTTGAAAAAATAATCCTTATGCAACTTGTCAGTTATTTCAATTTAAATAATTTAATCCACAATAGTCAATTCGGTTTTTCCAAAGGTCGTTCAACTACAGACGCAGGTGCAGAGTTGCTTAGACACGTATTTGCTGCATGGGAAACTAAAATGGATGTGATAGGTGTTTTTTGTGACCTTTCTAAGGCTTTTGATTGCGTTGATCATAATACATTGCTAAAAAAACTTGCTTTTTATGGCGTCAAAGACAATGCTTTAAATTTAATAAAATCTTATCTATCTGATAGAATACAGAAAGTGAAGATTAGCAACGCTACGTCTGACGGGTCACTTGTGCAAATGGGTGTACCTCAAGGATCTATTCTCGGTCCATTTTTATTCCTAGTTTACATTAATGATCTCCCATATGCCATGCAGGATAGATGCGGCATAGTATTGTTTGCAGACGATACTTCATTGATTTTTAAAGTTAATAGAATGACTAATAATTATGACGATGTAAATAACTGGTTTACAACTAACAATCTTATGTTAAACGCTAAAAAAACAAAATGTGTTAATTTATCTCTATCTAAAAGTTTTAATACTAATTGCAATATTAAATTAAATGACGAATCTCTCGAATTTATAGAATCTACTGTCTTTCTAGGAATCACACTAGATAATAAAACACAATGGGGTGCACAAATTCAAAGCCTTGCAGCGAAACTAAGTTCAGCAGCTTTTGCCGTGCGTAAAGTTAGACAGTACACTGATACTGATACTGCTAGATTAGTCTATTTTAGTTATTTTCATAGTTTACTCTCTTATGGAATATTACTATGGGGAAAAGCGGCAGATATTAAGAATATATTCATATTACAAAAACGTGCCGTTCGAGCGATCTACTGTATGAAGAGTCGTGACTCATTAAGAGAGAAATTCAAAGAGGCAAATATTCTCACCGTTGCTTCTCAATTTATATATTCAAATATTCTATATGTTCATAAAAATCTTGACTTATTTCCAAAAACAGCAATATTCATAATATTAATACTAGATTTAAAGACAAACTTGCTGTCCCCAAGTATCGTTTAGAAAAAGTTAATAGGTCTTTTATGGGAATAGGTATAAAAATTTACAATAAGATACCAAAGGATATGTTGGAATTACCCTTAAATAAATTCAAAACATCTGTTAAATCATATTTACTGAGCAAAGCCTATTACTCACTAAACGATTACTTGAATGACGAGTGTGCATGGCAATAGTTGTTCATGCACTGAATTTTCATTTAATGTTAGACATAAACACCTATATAAATATACATTGTAAATAAACTGGCTTTAAAAAAAAAAGTAATTCAATTGAGTTTCTTGCCAGTTCTTCTCAATTGGATCTATATACCGAACTGGACGGTAGGGTAAATATAAAATTATAATGTAAAAATTTGACGTTCATAAGCGGCTAAAATGTCCTACATGAATAAATGATTTTTGAATTTTGAATTTTGAATTTTATAAATACTCATTGTTATACAAGTGTATATGTAGGAAGGTACAGGTATAGTGTATACCTTATACCTGTACCTTCCTCACAAATACAATATTTTTTTAACCAAAAGTTGTGTAATATACCATCAGGTGAGCCGCATGCTCGTTTGCCCCTGTGTTGTAACAAACAATTATATAATAATTTTTTTTACTATTATTCTAAACTGTCGATATTATCAAGATACTCAGATTTTGAAAAGCTAATTATTATTATAAGTATGATATATTTTAAATAATTGCATCTAGGTATAAATTTCGATATTACATTTCTTCTATTAGAATCTATAGAAATAATACCTGGTAATTTGTTTTTTATCTTTATTTTACGAGTTACTAGGGGAAAACAAATAGCATTGATGATTGATAGTATAGTAATAGTGATAATCATTGCTGGACAGTTATAATATACCTCATAATTTTAGGTGTATTTAGATAATAAGTAATAATATAATAACTTTACGTACGAACTATATAAGTGTATAATATAGATTACTTAAGTACATATATCCATAATAATCTATAAATTGATAAGGTAAATTTATTTGAGAACATTGTCCTTTAAAGTGTTCTGCTTGACAACAAAATTTTTTTGCGAAATAAAAATAATAACTAAATAGTGTATCATGCATACAGTTACATAGCTGATAGAAGCGTCGGCCTGGGGAGGAAAAATTATATTATCGACTGTCGAACTCACTTTAAGTTATTCACTTTTTAATTCACTTTTAGATGAACCTCTCAGCTATTAAATAAAGCTACAACCTCAATTGTTCGACAGGGATTTAATTAAGGGATACCCTTGGATTTAATCAAGACTATTCCTTGTGGACCGTCAAGACCTCCTATGGGTCTATAATCAGAAGATAATATAGGAAACACAACGTAGAAATTATAAGGTCTTTAGACTGTGATGAAATCTTTAAATCATGATGATAACACTTAATTTATTTTTTAATAATCTGTACAAATATAATTCTTTTTAAACATATTTCCTATGGATAGATATAATATATATATTTTTACTTCGACAGTGCGCTCCGCGGGGCTAATACTCTTGCAGACAGTTCCCGAAGGTCTAGGCGCTTGTGAGCTACGTACAGCAGCTCTCCAACTGCCTGGGGTGGTGGCCATTCATGAGCTTCACGTGTGGCAACTGCACCGCGACAAGGTCGTAGCTACCGCTCACGTCGCATACAGCTCGCATAAAGTAAGAATTGATTACCTATTTCTGATATAGCAAGAAGCTGTAAGTTTTATGTGTATGTTTGTGATTTAGTTTGAAATAATTTGGTTTATAGTAAGAACCATGGGTGTAATAATGTTGTCCGTGGTAGATTTCTTCTACATAGGCGACAGTTATCACTTTCCATCATATGAATTCACAGTATCTTTGTCATTATAAGTCAAAATATATGTATGCATAATAAACACCTAAATATGTTCAGCTTAAAGCTATAATTTTATCCAAATTGATTTATTTCAACGTATATCAACGAAAACAATTAAACACCCAAAATTACTATCAAATCAAGTATGTACGCAAATCAAATAAAGATGCATATGTACTATACTCACTTGTCTTAAAAAAGGGCTAGGGACTATATTTTACTAAATAATAATCTTAAATATTATGTCAATGTACGTAAGTGACCCTAAGTCACTTACGTACATTAACTTAATGTACGTAAGTGACTTAAGGTCCGTCATTTCGACTATAGGTTTTTATGTGTGTATTACGCTAAATCTTCATTTATTCTGCAATAATTTTGACTATTATTTTTGCATTTTTGAATAAAAAAAAAAAGAAAATATTTGCGTCTATTATGTCGCAATGTAAAATCATTTAAACAATGCATATGTAACGATTGAACCGTTTATAAATCTAGCCTCGTATCTGTTTCTAATACTAAATGAGTGTTTCAAAATAACACGCATACTCGTACATCAACAACGTAGTGACGACGTTCAATTAAAAATATTAATCAATACAAAAACTGTCTAAACTGTTGCTAAAAAATTTGGTTATACGTATATAAAAAATATTTGTTGTCTTCCACAGGATTTCCAACAGAGTTCGCCATTAGTATGTAAGCTCTTCAAGAATCATGGCATCAATCTAGTCACTTTACAACCAGAATTCGCACTGGATGCCATTACAGGTAAAACGAGTTACTTCTTATTTTCTTTATATCTAACCTGAAGAAAAATAACAATTAAATAAATATACTTACAGTTGATCATAGTCGCAAATTAACTAACTACCTATTGGTTACTAGTTACAATTTTTTATCATGCTCTGCATCTCAGAGATGCTCAATTTTTATTAAGAATTAAGTGTTGCTCGTAGAGTTGCACTATGCCATGTTTCTCTTTTAAGTTAAAATGTTCTAAAATCCTTTCATAGACAATGCTTACGTTATAAATTAAACCTACATTCCAAATTGCAGCTTTTCAGACTTAGTAGTTTTGTCTGTATATTGATAGTCAGAACAAACGATTTTATAAGTAAAAATAAAGCTATAGATATAAATACGGCTTAATTCAATCTTAATGTTTATAAAACTTTTGGCCTGATCATACTGATTAGGTATTTATTATTAAATATATAAGCCTATCTCTGCTTACCTCCCGATTCATACTTATAAACGTACATCATGAATATTACTTTTTTTATAATTATGGATGATAATTGAATGGTAACGGCTGGTGGAACACTAGTGAGAGATGGTAGGTAAGAATTAATAGGAAGGTCAGTTATCCCATCGCGATGAATACACCTGGAATTCAGCACATATTGTCATTGAGTTGCGATGTAACGATTAGATAATCATAGATACTTCAAATTGATACGTTATTTATTATAATACTTTCAAAATAATTTCGACAGGTACAGAAGAAGATAAGAAAGCTTACTTGGAGTTCGCAAACCAGGCATGTGGGAGCCCTTGTGCCAAAGAGTGCACGGCGCGCCGTTGCTGCGAACCACCGCGTAAACTGTCCGTCACCCGCATATAAACTACCTATAGATATTCCACCTTTATGTGTTCTTCGCTTTGGATAATGTACCATAAAGTGCTCGAAATACTCGATGTTGACTCCATTATCTTGATATCCAAAATCGTCTCCCATTTATGGTTTTTTGTATATAAGCTTTTTGTTGTACGTATACATAAATTCATCACTATATGTATCTACAATGTATTTGTATAAAAAAAATAATTACAGTTCAGGGTAAGATAAAAAAAAAATATATAGGTAAAGCTTTCAACTTTCTTAATAAAAAAAATAAGTTCAAGAAAGCTAGCAAGAATGCTTAAGAGGTATTTTTAAAAATTGGTACAAATTTCTTTTTAGATTACGTAGTTATTATTAAAGATGATTACAGCATCTATTACTAGAGATAGATACAACCAAAGATACTAATGTTCGGGTACCGCAACAGTTTTCTAATCCAGCCTGATAACAACAAAGGCAGTAACAAGTGAAAGTGCAATGAATAAAGCATGGTTCGCGTTGCCTCATTATGTCACTTGACTGCACCTCACAATCACGTGGCAGTAAGAGTATGACATCGTAACGATGTGACATTGACGAGGATCCATTGTTGAAATTAAAGACATATTGTTGTAGACAAGCTGATATTTAAACGCTAGAGAAATCCATTGCATATTTTAAAAGAACTAGCATTTTTGTATGTTCCAATAGTATTGTGGGCGTACAGCATTGTCAAATAAGTGCATTTATTTTTCACCAATTATATGGTTTGTCTGTTTTAACTTACCTACCGTGAAGATCATTCGTAAATCATTGTTTTACGATAATTCGTGATTGTTGTTAAAATGTTTGTCAATGACCATTGATACAATTTTTGTAACACGAATATTTACATTTATGCATCCTTTCCAAGACAGCAATATATAGTGCTGATCAGTAACATACTCAAGTTTATTTACTAGGTAAAAAAAATATCGCTAGAGGAAAAATATTATAAAACATAAATATTTTGAATTCAACTAATATTTGTAATATTTTTTTCTATCATATGAGAATCAAACCATACGAGTATTTAGCAAACGGATGCTTTTATAGATATGTTTTTGATAGCATACTCATTATAAAAAATAAAGACGACAAACTTATCTAGTTCTAAGAATAGCTACTTACTTTGTTCAATCAACAATCTTAATTCCAGGTAATACGATATTTTGCTTTTTGTATTAGATAAAACTACATTGAGTACATTTCTCGATACATTTAAATAACAGCGAAATCGTGTTAGATCAAGGCTGAAGATTAGGTGAATGCACCTGCACTATATGCCCATCTCTTATGACTTTCTTATGACGATTGGATAAGTAATCCCGATATTATATTATTTGTTCACGGCATAATAACCCGGTAATATTAATATTTTATACTGTAGTTTAGATTTTATGTGGTATACAAAGCGACTGTGATGTTCCTAGACAGTATTAGGTGTTAGAGGACAGCTAGGTATGCGATTATTCATTTATTATAAGTTAATAACTAATGACAAATATGTAAGAAAGTATAAAATAAGTGTTATTGATACAAAGTTATGTTAATGTTAATAAATGTAATTAATAAATGTAACTTAAATAAAGTATTTAAATAATAATCTAAATACACATTTTTTCTTTAATACCTTTACATATATACAAGTATATTTTTATCTGTGCGCCATATTTCTATGTTCCACGTTGCGTTTTTGATTGATTTTTTATGTTATTGAAGCCTATAAATCAACAGAATAAAAACCAATGTTTATGCATGTTCTGCGATCTCTCACTAATGCCTCGTTGTCCCACAACACACTTTACATCTTTTTTACTTACTTTACATCTTAGCATAAATATTTGTATCTACCACTTACACTGGGTATTCTAATCTGGAGATACAGAACTCGATGGTACTCCTGTATCAATCTGCTCTGAATATCTCGAATGTATGTATTTAGTTCTAACGGTAGAAGAGGACTTAAAAGAAATTGATTGATTGTGTGAAACAATATGGCCAGACACGAATGCATAATAAAATGAATGAAATATAAACACATATATAAACGCTGACCTCATAAATGATATAGGTTAAAGGTGGGGGTTTACCATGAAATGAAATTCTGAATTTTTAGACTCAATTTCGTGTTTTCGTTCATATCGAAATCAACCCAATAAATGGAGTTTACTATCATAAAAGTCCAAAGGAAAGATATTCTAACATTTTTAATATCTTTGAACGGTATATATTATATAATTTTAAGATCAAATTTGCATTTAATTCAGCCCGAAATTTCGAAAACATTTCATGATAGGTCCTCTGATTTCTGAAAATCATATTAAAACAAACACGACAGCGAAAAAAAGTTTAAGTATTATTATGTTTTATTTGAGACACCAACTACATTATGTAAGTGTATATACTGTTAAATATTAATTTTATTAACGGCTTCACAAGCTAATCACTATTAACGTTAATTATTGTCTAATTGTTAAAAGAGACAAATATCTTGAGATCAAATTGCACATAATTATATCCATTTAATTTCATATACCTCTCATACTAAGCTCTCACATTAATTCGGCAACTGGAAGCGCCATGGTAATATAGAAGAAATTTGTTTTATTTTTAGAGAACCTACAAAATGAAGTAACACATTATGTTTCAGAAAGTTAGACCTATTATATATCTATTTCTTGATTGAACTGCTATAACATTAATCATCTTCATAATTCATGTGAGCAGATGTGGAGACGTCGGCGGTGAAGTTAGGTTTTTGACAGTGAGCGGGACGGCACGAGCGACTCTTCACTGTTTTACGACACGCTTTTCCATTTCCTGAAGCCTGGCGCTGGAAACCACACCAATTGACCATTGATATTTATACACCTTTTTTTTTATAATGACAATTATTTATCGAGGGCATTTAGGGATAATCTTATAAAAATGAAAACAGAGGTCACTCATTTCTAATTTTTTTTTAATTATATTTTTTTCGGTGTTTTTGTTAATTTACAAATTTTTCTGCTACTTCTGCATCTAAATACCTCTGTTTTACTGGAAAACGTACATAAAAAAATTAAAACTACTGAAAAGATACTTACGATGCTTAGACAGCATCTACGATTAGCATATTATTATTTTAACCCAGCACTGAGTAAAACGGATTAACTATTATGTATTACATAATTTCCATAATCTGTGGTATACGCAAAGTAAGTGATGCTTTTACTCGTTACAGATATAAGTCTTTCTATTGTATATTACTCTGCATTCTCGTTTAGCTAAAAATGCCTTCAACCTTTCTCTCTACATTATTTTACTGAAGAATACAGCGTTACATTGAAACGAAAAAGTGTCTTTTTTAAACAAACCCACAACATTATCGACTTTTTATTATATGACCATGAGTATACATATTGTACATATGGGCCTTTAATGATAATAATTTGATTAAAGGAATAGAGATATCTAATACATAAAGATATTTCTACTTAACAATTACTCGTAAACTGTTCTAAGTTCCTCTGTGCCACAACCTTAGCACCTATAAGTAGTGTTTAAATCTGGCCCAGCATGCGTTGCATGACTGCACTAATGTATACTGAACTCACCGAAACCAATCGATAGTTGAGTTTGACAGCGAAGTCACACTCCCCGATACAGTCGCTCCAGCCGAGCCACGGGCCCATCTCGCAATTCACGTCCTCTACTTCATGAATAATCGAAAATAAAACATCACATGGAAAATAATACAAAATATTACAAAATGAAGACAGTTAAAAAACTCATCTAAAATATAATCATGCATCAAAATAAATTTTAATGTAATTATATAATAATTCAGACAGGATATAGTTTTCTTTAAGAAGTTAAAAACAGATAATAAGTGTGTGCATATTTAGATACTTATTTGCCAGTAAACATATAGTACATCAATAGATAATAACATGCTATTATCACGAACCTTCTATGGTGGGTACATCGTTCTGTATCACTTCGTTATCGTCACTCGATGGTGTTTTATTCTTCTTTGTGGTCGACTCGATGTGAGAGCTCGCAGCTGTTGGTAAAAATTTTATATACATAGTTGTACGTATAATGAAATTTTGTTTACATTTAAGCATAAGAGAATCTAATGGACTTTCGCCATCTTATTTTATTTTTACATCTTCAGTATTCCGAGAACGTAGTTAATATTTTACTTAATCTTTATAATTATGTTAGTGTCTTTATAATATTCTATCCAACTATTTTTAAGGTTATATTATTATTTAATCTACATTATTTTTTGTATTATTTTTTTTTATTATCACTTTTACACTAAAAAGTGATAACAAAAAAAATAATACATTAAATTTTCCCTCACACTGCAAGTCGTAATAAAAAATATAGATATCATGTAATGATGTCATAATTAGTAGAACTAATTATAAGGGTCGATTCCTCTTAACAATCACATGAACCAGACTAACCAATTTGCTTATTGACATGCAAATTCATTAAAAGCAACTTAAAAATATAATATATACTGTACAATATATATAATATGTTTTAATTCCAGATAGTAATAATCAGAGACATTTTGTTAACTGTTAACAAGCATTAGGAAGGTGGATACGTAGAGGAAAGTACAGTCGATTGCCATTTAATATCACAGTGTCAACTTATATTGCACCAGTAGCCAAAAATTTAATTCGTTAAGGGTATTCACAAGCACTGGATCGATAATATCCTTTATATTAAAAAACAACATTTCTTTATTGGATAGTTGATTGCTTACAAACTGTCTTGTGATTACTGTTTGTGTGACTATTAGTATAGTATTATGTAATCTATGGTTAGTCCTAACGTAACCGATAACAGACTATTAAACAGTACAGTTGGTGTAGTGATACGTACTAGTACTGCTAGAGGATTTGGTAACATTCACGCAGACTTGCAAGCAGTGATCTCTGGTGCGGAAGTTGTTGGCATTGCCCCCACAGCCGCTGTACCCGAACGGTTCGCATATCAAACGCTCAATGTCGTAAAACCAGCGCTCGTCGTAGCCGCGACACGGGCCCACCGACAGCGGCAAATGGCATACTTCTTTATACAAAAAAAATACAATTGAAAGATAAATTAGACATTATTATCAGGAACTGAGGACGTTTTTACAGTTGACCAACAAATAAATTAAATAACAGATCATTACTACTGAGTACTTACACTCATTCAATGTTTATTCAATAAATACAATAATAAAAAAAGTCATTGACAAGAAATAATAACACTAATCGATTGGGAATTACTGGGAACTGCAACATCATTGCTAACTACTATCTAGCGGCGACCTTAGGGGGTGGCGTACAGGGCAATCACCCGGGGCCTCGCTCTTGTAGGGGCCTCGTGTAGAAACCCAAGCAAATTTTAAACAACCAGTGAGTGGGATTTTGTCTAATGGCAAGTTGCAAAAACTCCCCGATTTAAGCATTTTAATCATGAATGAACAAAATTACCAATACTAAAATATACAAGTAAAAAAAACCTGTAAAAAGAAATGTAAAATAAATGTCTTATTCTATTATTATATATAATATTGTTATTCAAGATAGGTCTAATTATTCTTTTAATATTTTATAAACTGTTGTACTAAATACTAAATAATCATACCGGAAGAAACAGCGGGCGGACTACAAGATATGTCGTCTCCATCACAGAGCGCTTCCTGCTGTGTCAACGTGTACTGACATCGTTCTAAATGTTCTTGGACAAGTTTCTCTACCTCGGGATCTTCGACAGTCACATTTTCAGCCGGAATATCCTTTTGAAAGAGAGATATATCGTAAGACATAGTCTCAATGCCTATCTCTTACAAGTCAGAGATGAGAACTCACGTTCTTAATGTCTATCCCATAAAGAGCTTCCTTTGAATATAATCACTTGATTCTATTGGATATACTTACGATATTCTGCAAGGCGGCGAAGGTGCGGTGCCAAGCAGCAAGTAATGTGCGCGTGAGGTGCGGTTGCAAACGCGGCGGCATCAGATACAAACGCGTGCGCAGCCGCCGCCCGCGGCCGCAGCGTGCCGAGCATGGCGACCACTCGCTCCATGGCGACACGCGGCATTCACCGCGCGACTCGTCCTTCGGCGAAAACCGGATTTGTTTACGTTATTTTCAATATTTATATTCCAAAATTAACTACTTGAATTAGTGAGAGATGATAAGTCAATTAAACAATGCTCCAGTACGAATCGAATCTAAACTAAACATCAATATTTTTACATCTATGTCCAACAGAGCTTCAGTTTACACAAGTAACAGTAGATACTCCACTGTCACTCTTTGAAAGTAACTAATTTTAATCTGTTCTTCAATATATAACTCGAATCACAGATTAAATAAAGATAAAAGACCAAGAAGCATCAGTCCAAATTACTGGACAGTCCAGGTAGTAAATGAGAAAAGACGGTGGATTCTTCACTGCTTCTTTTCGTCTATCCACATTGGACAGACAATGAAGCAGTGAAGTATCTGGTCTGAATTACGGTCCTCATGAAGAAAAAAATAAATATAGAGAACTTCAAATAATTACTAATAACTGATCATTTTTTTTCGCTTAGAATTAAAAATCAATTAAATTATCCTATAAAAATTATAATAGTATACTAACTTATATATATTTGTCACGGCGGAAATTTATGGTATATTAATATGTAATAAATTATTTATTATTATTATTTTAGAGATAAGGCCGCTCATTGTTTTCTCATTGTGATAATTTTTTGCAATTGTTTGTATCTGTAATACGTTTACTACTGTAATCTTTTAGAGGAAACAATAAAGAGTACCTATCTATTTATTAAAAGAAAGCTACAAAATGTTATTCTTACCCTGAAAAACCAATCGAGAATAGATGAATTGGCATACGCTCCAGTTGGTCTACAAAAGGTAAATGACATTATATTTATTATTATGAAAAAAAGTATAGGTACTACTACGAAAGAGTGATCGCAATAAAACTTTCTAAAATTGACACAATAAATGTGTTTTCATAATTACATCGCAAAACCAGTTTATTACACACGTAGTTGTGATTATAATCTATACCTGATGAATTAAGATCTAGATCTTTTTATACTGTACTATCAGAAAAGAAAAAAGCTACATTTCAGTTCTGTACACGTATCTATTAAAGACATAACTTATTAGGTAGTTGTACTTACTTATCGCAAGGTCCAGCTTCGCAAGGTATAGCCTGGCTCATAACTGTAGAGGCACGGAAGCCGACATGGCAGCGTTTGTGCGCGCGCGGCAACAAATAGTGACGGGTGCGGGCGCGCACGCCGCAGCCTTCGCACGGCGACCACGCCGACCACGCCGACACTGCACATGGACCCGTCGACTCCGCCGGGTCTGGCTCGTAATCCGACACAGCCCTGAAAAACACAACTATTCTTACCATGATTTTATTATTAAAAAAAAAATAACTAAAATTTATAAAGCGACATCAAAATAGCGGCTCTTCATGTCTCCTGAGGTTGACTTATCTAATAATTGTGGTGTCAGCTTTTAACTGAATATCTTTATCTTCTGATTTTCAACAAACTTCAAAAAAAGAAAATATTCTTAATTCAGTTGTATTTTTTTATGTTTGTTACCTCAGAACTATGTCATTTATAAACCGATTTGGAAAATTCTTTTATATCGAAAAAGATATATTTTCAAATTAGTTCCATGGAAATTGTATCAAAGTTAGTCATCTTGGTTTTTGAATCAAAATAATTGGCTTTTTTACATTTGAAGCTGTTTTTTGTAGAGTAAAATCTACTAAGAAATAAACTATTAAAATACGAATCAAATGTTACTGCTGTCATTCATTATACTATTATAAAGTAACTTGTCTGGCTAATGCCTAGCTTTGTTTAATCTATGGTCTTTGCGCGAAAATATGATTAAGTGGACTATATGTACGACAAGGTTTATAAAGTAATTCAATACGAAAATGCAATAACGACGAACTGTTACAAAAGTCACTATCTAGATTCAAACAATAGTCAAATGAGTTATCCTTTTATTTGCGAAAATTCCTCTGACTATAACATACCTACTCAGTTTACTTATTATGTTAAAGTTACCTGAAATTACGTCGTAAATGTCATAAGTATTAAGTGTTATAATCTTGATAATTCCTATAGTTATTTGAATCTTGAAGTGTCCTTTTAACGACAAACCAGCTAACTAGTTGCGTAATATATATCGACAATAACAGAGGTATTAAATTCTCTTTATGGTTCAAGATTATGGAGCTAAATTCGTTGCCTTTTAATTATTTAAAAACGACAACGATACATTTTTATACTTCTATTTGAAAGAGCAGACACCGATAACCCTTTTTTCTTTCTACCTCCAATTATTGATTTATTGCCACATACGAAAATAAAATGTTCTTATTGACTTTTAAGAGTATTGCCATGCAATTATTACGTTTAAAGTAAACAGTCTTAATTCGGAATTACCTAAATTTAATAATATCTAATAGTATTAACCATATCTAGTTATATCAGTGCCCCTATTCCTGTCTATATTTTGCGCTATAAACACCTTTAATCTTCAGTATGTCATAAAGGTTATATTTTATAATATACTAAACTGGTCTGACTTCTGAGATTACCTACTAATAAAAATATTTATTAAAAAATTGCCTGCAATGCATCCTAGGTCCGTTACAGCGTTTGTAGTCGGTGAGTTGCACGCGGCATGCGTCTGCATAAGCACGTGCGGGCCATACGTAATGGCGCTGACGCGAGGCACGGCCCACGCCGCACGTGACGCTACATGCGCCCCACGCGCCCCACGCATGCGTGCTGCATGCGCCACCACCCGCAGGCGACTCCTGTCCGTGCTCACTGCCTAATTCTGTCATTATTATTGACATTATACGAGTACAATATGAAGTTTTTTTAAAATATAACATGTTGAAATCCATTATATCAATAAACCTCAACCATTTTTCCCGTGAAATAAAATTGGAATATAAATTATTTTTCAACCTTTCATATAAACCACGCAATTACCTACATGAAATGTTTAAAAATTATTTTCAACTGTGTTTCTTTAGGGAAAGTTGTTCAATATTTTCAAACTAACCGGCAGCGTCACAGCTTTTCTCATAAAGCCGGAGTCGAGTAAGACGTAACCTGGCAAAGGGCCGCATTTCATTAGTACTGCTGAAAAATGGTGAGCGCACATCACGTGGCCAGTCTGGCCTGAGTGCTCGTACCGGTGCAGCGGGAACTGTAGGCTGGCGACGTGACTGAATAAGAAAATTAAATCACATAAAATTGAGTATACAGTAAGCAATTTGAAGCCTAACTTAAACAGGCAATAAATATTCTCTCAAATATCAGTCGAATTCTCATATAAAAAAGCTTTTAACATTTAATAAGACGTACTTGAAATGAGTTTAATATGGGAAATATTTCTAAGATTTTATTTTTATATAATTAATAAAAAATGAATTAATATAATTTATTATTTCTTATTTAATAAGAGGAATATCAAAAAGAAGAAACTATATTAGTCATTTCATGTTTCTAATTGATTTAAAATAAGCAATTGGTAAGCAAGAATGACTATTATACTTTACTACAACGGGAACATTCGAGAAATGTTTCTAAGTACCTCATTAGGGATTATAGTCGTCAACATATTTATCTATACAACTATATCTCTTTCATATTTAAGTACCTACATGCTTAATGGAAAATTAATAAATAATTAGTGCCTTTTATTGTTGCATCCTCTTTCTATTTATTGAATTGTTCAATAAAAATGCAATTAAACATTTTAATGCAATCAGAATACAATTCTATGACATTATGAATAATTACGTACCATATAAGTAAGTCCGCTATCAGTGCCCGCATCATAAGGATATAGGGGAAGAGTAGCAGAAGTGCTCCAGGTACAATTAGAATTGCAGAGTTCTAATGCTGATACACCAACTATCCAGTCGGGTGATGGAGCTAATTTTGATGCCAGGGAAATTAAATGGTGTTTAGCGTCCACACGAAATACTGCGAAGGTATTAGGGCTGCCACCACTGGCCACTTGTTGCCAGGATATACCTCGAGCTTTGATTATCGTTCTTATGTGATCGCTCTGCAAAAATATCGTTTGGTCAATAACTTTGAGACAAATGAAATTAATATAAAGTTTACCATATTTTAATCGTGATCCAATATAAACTATAATACCCTGTATGCAGTTTTTTCAATAGAGAATTTGATACGTATTAATAAAATTTTCAGATCTGATCAAAAATATCTGATATATTATTTATCCTTATTAATATTATTAATGTGAAAGTGAGTTAATTTTTTTTTTTTTTTTTGTTTATTTATTACCTATTAGTGCTTTTTTAACCAATCACTTTGAAATTTGATATACTGTATATTATCTTTAACAAAATAGTCGTAAAATAATTACATTAAAATACATTATACCTATAGATACATAAAATGTCCATACCAAAATATTATATATTCTTATTTTAACAGATTATTTAACATAAATACATATATTTAATATTTATTATTAATAATTTTTCTTCCTTTTTCCCTTCTTTTTTTTTCTACTTCATGACGATAGTTAAGGGGTCAGACTTTACTGGGTGATGTAATCTTGCTACGCTAATAGCACTGTCATCGGCATCAAACAGGTCTTTTACAATGTAACAATTAGTACTTAGTAGTAATATCGTTTGAAGTGTATGACTTCGAGTTAAGTCGTTGCTCTATTTCCATTTCCCCATTTCCCTTATACATATACTCGTATTCTATAAATGGCAGTACTTTGATATACACTTGCAATAGCATTTGTCGTTCGTCCACGTCCCTAAAATATTTTATACGATTTCCAATACCTACATACAATATATTGATTACGATCAACAATCCGCACATCGACGTATAACATATTTTATATTATAAGTTCCATATTCCAGTATAATCTTCATTCTATATTTAATATTTCTCACCTCTGCTTTCAATTCTTTCTCTAATGCAGTGGTGACTCCATCATCAGCTAATCTCCGCAGTCCGCTGCTAGCCACTCTACCTTCCTGCCACACTCTGTACTGCCCAGTATGTGAGGCACCGATCATATCTCCGAAATGGGCGTGAGCACTCTCAGGTGGAAAGTCTCGTGGATGTGTGTTACGAGACCACAGACCTTCAAATACTACCTGTGGTACACGTCAATTATCTATGTATATTTAGTTATAGTATAAAATATTTTATAAAACCAGTTATACTATAAATTTTTATATGAAGTGATTCTTAAGAGACAATGCGTACGTAAAAATAAGTACAGAAGTTATATAATGATGTGACATACTTATGTGTTTAATAGTATTGTAGAAGAATATTTTATAACATTTGATCTAAACAGCAGATAGGCAAAACTTTAAAATAAGTAATATAAATACTCCTATGAGTAATTATACTGCTTATTTATATATATATATATATATATATATATATATATATATATATATATATATATATATATATATATATATATATATATATATATATATATATATATATATATATATATATATATATATATATATATATAAATTAATTATATACATATATATATAAGTATATTAAGACTATTTTTAATATACTTAAATACCCGGCAATCTCAGACAAAGTACCTATACATGACTTCGTCGGTGTTGTAACATATGAGCTTAGATTATAAAGTCTTAGGTACTACGTTTATGTATACAAGTATGTGAAGTCAACTAGTCAAGTAACATAGTCATTATTGAATCAAGTTACTGTATGTTATCAATATCTATAAGTTGTAATAACGTTTTATTGAACTTACATTAAACTTTGTTAATACTGATTTGTGATAAAAATTACAGTAAACGTATCTTACTTCATATTTAGCCTCGTCACAAGCACAACAAGGCTCTACGATAGGTGGCTGTCGCGAAAAGCTCGCGGGCGCCGTGGGTGCGGGACATATCTTGCGAGCCAGTACTGCCCAAGATCCCGAACCAACAGCTGGAGTCGCATGGGCACACAACAGTATGCAAGAGTTTGTTGCATTTGACGGTGAACTCCATATTACCTAAAATCAAAAATATCTAACATACGTAAATATATTTGGAACAACTGTGAAAATTCATATTGTTAAAAACTAGAATCAATTTCTTTATAATCGTCGAAGGGATTTAACTAGACATGAAAATACCTATAAAGTATACATATAATCCTTTAATTTTAGTTGTCCAGATACAACATCACGTCCTGATAAATACTTAAGTGACTAAACAAAAGGCTAATTATTATTATCAATTACCGACATCTCACAAATAAATACAAATGTATATAATTACGCATAAATATATATATATATATTTTTTAATGGATGATAATGGAATGGTAACCTCGCCTGCGCTATCGGTATATGCTGGCGGGGCACCAGTGAGGGATGATAGGTGAGGATGAAGCAGGTCAATTATCCCACCGTGACGAATCTAACAATAAATCGCTCATGATGGTTTCTAGGGGAATCACGAGGAGGTCGACCTGACAGGCTATACAGCTAGCAATGGGGCTATTAGTCCCCATTCCTATCAATTTCTTCTCCCCGCCCATGTTGATAGGTAACATGTCAATTTTGTCAACATTGATGTTGTTTTGCGAAATTGTAAATTATTCTTCAATTAAATTAATATTAGTGACTTTCTTAATACGAAATAAATACTGTTGCCAAGTATCAGATTTACTGGTTGATCTACACTTATCTTTCGCAAGTAGCTACCGAATCAACACCGCACCGAAACAACCGCGTGGAGGTCGACCTGATGGGGTACCCATCATATCCTTTACTAACAACCCCCCCCCCCCCCCCGCATAAATATATTGAGATGTAAGTACAAAAAATTGTCGTAAAAAAACCGTAAAATACATAAATAACAAAGAATATATGGATACCTATTGCCAATAGTAAATACATGTTATAGTGGCCACCTAGCCATAGGATTACTATGAGAGTATAATAAAATATACATACGAGTATCTAGTGAAGCCACTTAGATTAAAAAGAAATATCTTTAAAATATTGGACGACCTTGGTGGTGTAGATGTGTAACATATTGATTTACTGAGTTTTTAGAGGAAGGGAATGTTACTAATATGATCTAATGGCCTCATTGCTAACAATATATTTTATCGAGTTGACCTACACGCAATCCTTCTGGAAACCAACTTGATTCAGTCCCGGAGAATTCGTTACAGTAGGCCAACTGAACTGATTTCGTTCTCATCTATCATCACTCACTGATGCTCTGCCAATAAATACCGATAGCACGGGCTGTTTTACCGTCTCATTTTCACCCATTAAACAAGACGACTTATATAGCAAAACACTACATTTAAAGTATCTCTATCAGTTGTATTTGTCTAGAACTTACGCATAATACAAGCTCTTATATTTTGGGACTACTTAGACAGCGCTTTGTGACCTATTCATATCTTTTTATATTAATATTTGTCATACTATAACAAACCTGTATCTCAGTCTTAGGATGTGCAGTAGCATTATTGACTGCTGGCCTACACACTTCATGTTGCTTAGTCTGGGCATCATACGATTGGAAACCACCCAACGGTAAATTCAGAGACTTGTTAGGGTTATCTTCATCACTCGTCTCGGTTTTTACAAACTCGTCAATCTCCACCCATATAGTGAATCCTATAAATGGTGTTGGACCTTGTCCGCTATCTAAGCCTTGCAATGAAACTAAAATTAAAAGCAATTTAAGTTATTAAGTACCGATAAAAAAATAACTTTTTAATAGACATTTTGATTCTAAATAGGTTTAAATTTCCTCAGATGAATTAATTATTTATTAAAATTTGAGAGAAGCTTATATATATGTATTTACTATATATAAGCTTTTTGAAAATTCCTGCAATTACGCAGATAATGTAAATTATAGATTCATCCTAATAGTACGGACAGATTAATGAACCACCTTCTTTTTATCTGAGATTAAACTTATGAGCATATTTTACTTTAAAATTTTCACCTGTGTATAGCTCTCCAGGTAAAAACAAATCTGGTTCGCCAGAAATTCCAATTCGATAATGTGAATCAGCGGGCTGCGCGTGCGCTGGCGCTCGCTCACACTGCTGAACAGGATTACTGGTGACAGTTACAACGTTCACTATCCCCACTGCGATGAGGAGTAACATAGTACCTGATAGACAATATTACTATTTTAAATTACCTCTTAGTGAAAACTAATAAAAAATCATAAATTAGGTGAAAATAAAATTAAGAGCATTCCATAATTACAAAATCACTACATAGTATATAATAATGTCGCGTCCTGTCTGTTTGTCCCTATGCATGCTTAGATCTTTAAAACTACGCAACGAATTTTGATGCGTTTTTTTTTTAATAGAGTGATTCAAGTGGAAGGTTTATATGTATAATAAATGCATAATATAATAGACAAACACTGATAATTTTAGAGGTTTCTAATGTGATGTAATGTAATTTGCACCCTTGTAAAGCCGGGACGGATCGATTGAAGATATATAAAAAAAGATTCGTAGCTTCGAATCACCAACAGGTATTCAATCTTAGATCGCTTAATCAAACCACGAAATTCTAAACCGATTCTATGATATAAAACATGGTTAATAGATTTCTTAATCATAACTACTATATCACAATGAAAAAATGGAATGTATGTAGGTATAATTTCGTCTCATCATGAACACTTCCGTGTAAATACAAGCAAACAGCATTTCGTACAGCTCTTCGGGAAATTTTTTTTGCAACATAAAATAGCAAACAAGCTGACGGCCCGCCTGATGGAAAATGATAACCGTCACCTATAGACATGAACAGCATCATGGTATCCTTTATGCATTGCTATTCTTTAAGACTAAAAGTTATGCCTATGAACTTTAATAAAAGTTGGTTAAATTGTCAAATTTCTGTTCCTCAAAAAAAGTCAATTTCAATTGTAGCCAGATTTTGATTTCTAATGTACTGAGCCGATTTTGATCATTTTTTATGGGTTTAATCTGTAAGCATATTCTTTCAGATAAAAAAATATTTTTTAAATCGATTTAGAACTGACAGAGTTATGAGGTAATAAACATAAAAAAACAATTCAACCGAATTGAGAACCACCTTCTTTTTGAAATTGGTTGAAAACTAATTAATATTTAAAAGTAATTAAGTTAAAATAATTAGTAATTAAGTTAAAAAAGTAACAAAATAATCAAAACTGGGTAAAATGCATGTATGGCATTAAATAAAATACAAATAAAAAAAAACTACTTCATGTACCTATATTTAAAAAATGAAATACAAAATATTATTAAGCCATCTAATTGCAATATGAAATACAAAATACAGTATTTAAACTATTTTTATTTAAAATATAAATTACTAAATACAGTCCGGTACTACCTAATATAAATAGAATTGAACTAATCCAGCCCAGCCTAAAATTCAGTAAAAAAAAAATTTGCCCACTTCTTGATAGAAATTATAGAGCTTACAAATACATCGTATAACACATAATTAACATTTGTCACCGTATAAAGTCATATAGATTTGTAATAAATACGTTTTTAATATAGTTAAAACATATTTTGAACGTAATACCTATAAACATATACATGTATGTATTACATAGACCTAGGTACATAATCAAGAAAAATCCTTTTCACACGAATAATGCTCCTAGCATATAGTGGACTATATTTTACTTTAGCTCGATATTCCAATCAGATTATAAAACTAAAATATTTATCAAGGTATATTATTCTCTACATTATTCTGTTAAATTAATTGAATGCTCTAGCACAGATTTAATAATACCACAAGCTCGATAGCGTAGACAATTTATGAACTGATTGGCAATTTATAAACAAAGGAAAGTCACTGACCTATATTCAGGTCACCGGCAAATGTTATTTGTAAACCAGATATATCAATTTATATCCACGAGATTTATATCTTCTCTGTTAAATTAATAGATCAACATTAAATTTCATAAAAAAAAATCATGAATTTCCATAAGCCGGTGACAAGTATGTGGCAGGCGCCCGCCCTACGCGTTCGAAAGCTACGCGGGCCTCTATAGAACTAAGCGAGACAGGAGTTTTTGATTTTCCACGTCCCTGTAAAATATTGTTAACGCGCTCAATACTTTAATTTACCTATGGAGACAAAATTTTGACGATTCGAATTTAATTAATTTTCATTAATAATTTACTTCTCACTTATAGACATATACAAATTAGGTAACAATAATGCAAATAAAAAGAAAATTACAGATGATGTTAAAATCATACTCGTATATAGGTAACGGGATAACAGGAATTTAAAGTTCTTTTATGTTCGTCGTTTCCCAGATTTGTTTCGACTTCATCCGGAAGTCTTCTGCAAGGTAAAAATAACGATGTTAGATCAAATAATTGCAATATTTTTTAATTAAATATTTCAACTAAAACACCAATGAAGTCACATATAACGTAAATAATTAATAAGTGCAACAGTTGTGATGCGAGCCATAAGCACCAGAATTTATTAACGTCACATCACGCGCCATCCTCAAAAAGGACAAAGGGAGGAACGTTGGAAAAATAGGAAATAATATTAATAAATTCCAAAGACTTACAGAACCTTTTGTAATTTTTATTATAGAAAATCATTGATTATAGTACAATAAATTAATAATTACAAACTACTAAAGTACTTAAACTACAAAAGTAGGACAAATATGTATTTCAATAATCTGTAATGCGTAAATAGAAAGTGAAATTACCAAATTGTGACAGGTAATAGAGTAGGTGCACATGTTTGTAAAACAAAGATGTGTTTTCTTTGTAAGCGTGCTTAACTTGCACATATTGAGACAACTTTGGTGTATACTCCGAAGAGGCAGATCAAGAAAATACAAAAAAATTAAGAATCTTTTAATATCGCTTAAAGCATTCTTTATATAAAAACCAAACGACGTTAACAGAACGATATTATATAACATAATGATCAAAAATTACTTTATTACTCGTATTTATTAGTTTTTCTTTCTGTATCCTTTTATTTCGGATTATCACACCTCTTCTATTTCAATATATATAATAAATAACGATATTTTCACAATACTTACAATGTTTAATTTGAAATAAAGAAAAAAATAAAAATTTAACGATTGCCATAGTTTGGGATGTAATAAAAATGCCGTGGTGAAAAAATAAGAATTGCGTATTATGCTAGTGATCAATATTGCACAATAATTTATTTAATAACAAAACATTAAAGAAACAAATAAGACGTGCGGCTAATCACACCACTTCACATGTGTAAAATATGGCACGCTTCCAATTATGTATTCTGTATCATTTTCGAAGATGTATTTTATAACATGAAAATAACAATTTAATATTTTCACATTATAATACAATATATTTTAATAAAAGCATTGAATAATTTTATGACTTAGTGGGCGGTTAATAATATCTACCTTATTTATATAAAAAGATCTACACATTTCAAAATAATCATTTCACAAGTAAATAAGACGTGATCACGGAAACTATTAAATTAAACTATTAGATAGTAAACTATTAAATTAATAAGTCTCTTCTATTTTAAGACAGCCCAATTATTAAAATTCATAGTCATTAAGCTATATTTTAAATTCTTACCTCCTACAAACTCGTTTTAACACTTGCAAACTGAGAATTTAGCAAAAAAGAAAGAGACAAAACAATTCAATAGCTAAAATAGGTTTATGAGAGATTTGACGTTTTTATGAATAAGGTGTTCAACGTTTTCTGAACCACCACCTTCTTCAACAACGCTCCGTTGTTACATATTGTAAAAATATAACACCTCCATTTGTCGCTGCATCTGCTATAGAAGGTCATTAATATTTAAAAATGTATAGATTCATTTCACATGTACTACATACTACGTATATTTTGTATTTAAATACATACTTATACAATCTAATGTAGAGCTTGATTATTAACATATAAATATTATGACTTAAGCGTTAATTATTTGAATAATTAAAATACTTATCAAATTATATATTATCACATTTTTTATTAAAAAATTAAACGTATTGATATTTTTGAAAAAAGAAAATTGGCACACAATACATTTGATGTTATAACATTTATTTATATATAATGAAACATACGCGAGATAAGTATTAATTTCGAAGATCTTATTTTATAATTTTAATTGTAAAATACCACTAATCACCATCACTGAATTTAAACATTGAAAGCCCCTGGGCGAAACTATTGGCAAAACTACTGCTACTATATAAATTGAAAGAGGTCGACACACCTAATAGATCTAGAATAGAAATATTTTTAAACCTATGTACTCGTATGTACAAAAATATAATATTTAGGTTCGCTATACCTAAATATTATTTTTTTTTTCAAAAAGTGCCATGGACATAACAAAATATACTGTATCTTCCATAATACTCTTCATGATTCTATAAATAAACAAATAGATAAATACAACGTATATTCAAGTTAGCGAGTCGAAACGAAACGAAAAAATTGGTTTATTAAAGATCAAGCAAAAAATGCATTACATCAACAAGGCATAGAATTATGTTTTTTGTAAGACTTAGTCTTACAAAGTATCGCCAAATGCTTCTTCTACTTGACCCACCTCCATTCTATTCAAATGCTCTCCAAAAGTTTTATTAATACTACAATTAATTTAATAAAAAAGCAATAACCGTAATATTCTATTGTATAAATATAATAGACTTAATAAAAAGAAAATAATGAATTAAAATCACATGAATATGACAGATAATAATATCGTAAAACTACAATTTAATATATAATGATATAAAAGTAATGCACAGGATAGACTTTTCCTCGGGTAAAGAAGTACGAATTTAAGAAAATTGTAATGTTTAAGTAATATTATACTGAATCTATTTTAATTATTTCGATTGTAAATCAGAATATTTTATTCCTGGTAAATTATCCTTAATTTTAAGCAAAAATTGGCGTCAATTTATGATTGTGGTCTATTTGGTGGCTGCTCCCTGAGCTCTAGTACATGATCGACAGCCTGTGGTCGCCCGTCCGGACCAATTCGTGCTGGCTTCATTACACCGTCGGAGACCATTTTATCAAACAGATTTACTAGTTTCATAGCCTCATATTCTTTCTGAAAAAAAAAAAATAAGTCTATACTTTTACCGTATGCAAGCGAACCATATTGTGCATACTTGACTGATTTTATATGTACACCTATCCCCCGATTTACACGGTATTTGTTTTACACGTTTTCGCTTTTACACGGTTTTCCAAATAAGTTTTTTTTTTTTTGTTTTTATCGCACTCTACTAAATGCTACTGTGTTTGAACACGTGCGCTGTGTACACATATCACGGGGAATCCCGACCTTATGTGCTGACTTGCTGCACATGCACACTGTGTCTGTATTTCTTTGCATAAAATTAAAGTTTTATCTACGGAAAATTGTATTTGAGTGAAAGTTTCACAGTGTCAGAAAGATTTAATTTTTCATATTCGTAAATTACAAGTGAGTGCATAATTAAGATTTTTATAAATTTACATAAATTAAAAAAAATTATAGGCTTATAATGTCGAAAGAAGTTAAATGTTATTTCTTTAGAAACTAAAATCGAAATTTTGGATCGCTTAGGAAAGGGAGATAGAGTAGTAGATGTTGCAAAATCATATAACATGAACGAAGCTACAATAAGAACTATTAGAACAAATGAAAATTTTTATTTTTATTTCTGTGTACACCTAAAAATATTGAAAAAAATCACAACTGTTAAATAGCAAAATTATGCATTTTCTGCAAGCTTTTCGATTTACACGGTTTTGACTTGAAAATTTTTAATTTTCGATTTACACGTTTTTCTCAGGAACGTATCTACCGTGTAAATCGGGGGATAGGTGTATATAATATTAAACTTGAAATGGATTTCTATATAAACCGATATATCGATTAAACGCGCTGGTTGACGAATGACTTAATTACGCGAGTTTAGAATTAATTTAGACTCCTTTAGTAAATTAGTAAAAAAAAAAAATTAAAATAACTTTATATTTTGTTTAGACACATTTAGCTGTTACATTACTTGCCACTCGACTAAATTTCTAGTCAGAACTAGAAGTTAGTCAACTGTGGTTTCTTTATTGCGACCGCAATAATCGTAATTCTAATTATATAAGGCGTCTCACGTAAGCAGAGCCACTTTGAGAAGATTAATTACAGTTGTATTTATTACACCAAATATGTAATCGTATCTCACTGTGGTTTTATTATTAGTTACATGGTATTTGCTATGTTATCAAATTATTTATAAGCCATAATACTTTATAGGTTATCTGCTCTGGCTTCGCAGGAGTACATATTTCTAAACTAATAATTATAAAAAAGAAATAAAAAGACAAAAAGCTAGTTAAGCTTATACCCATGACTTTGTCCGCGTAACAGGTATATGTTCACTAACCGGCACAAAAAATATTCTTCTCCATCCATATAATACGTGTATAGCAAATTTCATAGTGAAAAACCTTTAATGAGCTATAACGTAACACACAAACTCACTTTCACATTTATAATATTAGTAAGAATAATTGCCTAGTCTTCAATCTAGGATACCCTGTGTTATGAGCATACACGCGACGAACATTTACAGCACAACCTAGAACATACAGATCCGATATAATTCAGAAAAGTTCAGGGAACCGAACATCATCTACGCAATGCAACCACTATAATCAAATTGTCCTAAATATATATTTATTAAATAGGCTTATAAATATATATAAATATCTCTCATGAGACCAGATAAGGATTTGTTGATTAAAGTCCGAGATAACAGTTATAAAATTCCGACAGGTCGAAACTACGGAACCAGGTGTAGTTTAGTTATTATAAGAACAACTTAACAAATCAATTACCTGCTCATCTGACATTCCTTCAAATGGATCTATGCGCGGAGGCCTTGTGCAGCCCACAACAGGATCGATGTGAGGCTGCGCCTCCAAATATTCCTCAGTGTCGGAGTCGTCGCTACTCGAAGAGTACTGCGCCCCGCGCCCTCCACTCAGCAACCCCTTTTGGGCGAGATGACCCGCCGCATTACCGAATCCAGTGTATTTGACCATGCGTCCCACTAGTAAATATATTAAATAATAACATGTTTATATCAAAATAAATAAAACAGCATTATTCATTATTAAATAATTGAGGACATGAATGGATGAAGATGGTTTGTCACATATTCCGATTTTTGCTATTCTATGTTATGTGCACAGTAACATATACTTGATTACTATAACTTATATTTATTAGTATGCACATTACAGCTCCATATTAAAGGTATATCATATTTAAAATCATCATATCAGCCGTCTGTCTCTCCCTTGGGGGAATTTGCCATTAGTTGCCACACTAAGTGTGGCAGGCGGGTTGGCAATCGCAAATAGGCTTAAGAGGGACGCTGCTATCCATCCCTCGACCATTAAATTCTTAGTCGCCTCTAACAATTTTGTCTATAAAAATTTATTCTGGCAATATACAAAATAATAAATTTTATTAAAATAATATTAACTATTGTGTTTTATCTTACTTCGCATAATTAATAAATTATCCGGATCATAAACATAAACTACCTCTTTATTCAAATAACAATGCATGAAATTAACAAATCTGCACATTAAAAAGATGTTTGTAATATCTGTCAGTTTAGTATATTTAATAAATTATCAAGTGAGAAAAAACAAATTATGGATGCCAGTGTTTTGAGGTCTGGCCCTCCAATTCTGTATTATATATTTATTAACTAGCCGTTTACCGCGGCGTTGCCCGCTTCTAACTATGTAGTTCCCATTGGAACCCTTCATGAATCCGGTATTATATTGTTATATAAGACCGGAATGATATATATACTTAAATGATAATTACATACCTAGTACCTTCATAAAGTTTCAGCCAAGTCAACTGATCGGTTATTTTATACCATTTTATATGTAATTGTTTAGATTGATATAACTTTTTTTATTTATGAACCGATTGAAATAAAACAAATACTAAATGTTTAGTGAAAACCGCATGCAAATCGGTTAAGCCGTTTCTGAGGTTAGCGTGCACAAACGTACAAACAGACAAAAATTCTAATAACCATTGTTTTGGATTCTATTGCGTTCATAAAATCCGCCTATAGTAGTTTTTCTTATATATGTTCCTATGTACAGACAGCGATCAGTTACGATTGTATTACATGTGTTGATAGTGTAGATAAAATCTTATGGTGTAGAAAATATGTATTACCATAATTATATTTTTGATGCGATTTTTATAAGGCATATTAGCAAAATCAGTGAATAACCTTAGCATGTCTTTTTACAAAATTTAGACAAATGGCACATTAGGCAATTGTACACTGATCATCCGCAATGGAACATCGATAAAATTTGCTAATATAGATCACACTACGCGAAAGTTATAATGCGCCAAATTCGGCGATTTGTTTTACGAATTTAAAAATTGTTTGTTTTACGCACTAATATGGATCAAAGGAGCATGTGCAACGCCGTCTTCAAATGTATGATGTGCAGAGATATATAATTGTAAGGGCAATGAGTAGAGAGAAAGCTCTGTTGACATAACAAAAAAATAAATACAAATTTGTTTGGTTGCCAATAGCATTACATGCCAAGGTTTCTTCCTAATAGTATTAAGTATAGAAAAACGGATTATACTTGTAATAACTAAAACAAACTGCTTCTTTGATATTGAAAACTCACCTTTCTCCTTGCACAGGACAAATAAAAATTCGGCCACTAAGTCTCGAACTGAGGTGACGGGAGTAGTAAGAAGCCTGCATAACTGATTGCGGAGCGTGCTCCCTTTTTCTGGAGGACGCGAGACGTCGCGCAGCGGTGGCAGTACCACCTGTCGCAAGTACTTGCGCTGCGCTCGACAACTACGCGCACTCTTTACCATTACCGTCAATATAGGAGACAAGGTCTCATACTGATTTTTAGTATTCTGAAAGTGTGGAACTGTATTTAACAATTTATATTAAAACCAAAACTTGTAACTAATAAATGTTATTTTGCAATCATTTTTGACCAATTAAGTTTTGATTGCAGAATGTACTATAGAAAAGTAATACACATAGTAATAAATTCTTTTATATTAATAAAATAGATTTTCATGTAATATATTGAAAACAATACCGTTGTGTTTGACAATTTATTTTGTAACAGATGTATGAGAGACTGTAAAGCATCCATATTCCTTCCCTCATAATTATATTGGCACACTTCACCAGTATTTAATTGTGGAGTAAGATGGGGATAGAACACCAGAGGTACACTGTAATACAATATATTCTTATAAATAAAATAGGTTAATATAAGTAAATATTAAGTAAATAATGAGGAAAATAATATTTTTACCTTGTGAGCAAGTTAGCAATGTTACTTTTTAACTCCACTAGTTTATTCTCATTAGAAGTCTCGACTTGCAATAATGTAGTAAGGACAGGCATCAACTTTAAGAACATGACTTCTTCAATTTCATTAGTTGGCTCCTCTGAACCTGAATGAATGATCAAATTGAATTGAGCCTTCAGTATCTCACAAATAATAGACTGCTGGTGATCCTAAAAGAAAACTTTTTTTACATAACAATACAATTTAATCATAAGAATTTACATTTTAAATTTACATTGACTTACTTGTAATATGCAATGTGTTCTTTCCATGTCACTACCAGCTGTAGCTTTTAATTCCTGTAAATTCGGTGAAGCCTCTAATATGATTTCATTCAAGCAACTTATTAAATAATCCATGCCATGTAATTCATCTTTAATTTTTGTTTTAATATCATGTCTCAAGGCTGTTAATATAAAAAGTAACTTCATATCAAATAACATGATATCATCTTTGAATGGTATGTCCCTATAAATACGTAATCTAGCAACCAAAACTTGGGCAATATTTGTATGAGCACACAAAGCCCGAGCTACCTCACTGTTGAAAGCCAGATTGCAAAGACACTTTAAGGCTTCAACTGTAACCTCCTTTTGAGCTAAATCTATAGGTACTACAGATTCCAGTCCTGGTGACATAACATTATAGAAGCCAGCCCTTTCTATTAGAACTGCAATCCACTTCTCACATAGTAAAGTTTCTAGTTCTGCTTTATCTCGACTGAAAATATAATACAGCAATAATCATTAATAAAAGCTTTTAAACAATAGAGGTTATACAATTAAGTATATAATTTGATTAGCATTATTAATGGTAACAGTAACTTATGCATACTTGTGATCTAAAATTAGTATGTTTATAATACCTCAGAATCCTTATAGTGGCGAGGCATAGTGCATGGACAGTCGCCGAGGCGTCATTTTGAAGATGTTGGAATAAAGCTGTCCATAACAGCACACGTCTGTTATTCTCACACAATAATGGAAACGTAAAAACATTTTCATTCTAAAAAAAAAATTATAAACAATAATAACAATGTTGCTGTATTAAATTTATAATACAGTAAAATATAATATTATATAAAGTAAAATATAATATATACTGACACTTTTCAAAAACTGCTGTAAAATTTGGATTATTTCATCAGTATTATTACTGGTACACAAAATTGATATTTCATCTTCATTCATTGTAAATTTTAGTATAGTTATTAATTACTGAAAAGTTATAACTGTCCAAAATATTACTATATGTTTTGTTTATCCAGTTAAATCAATCGACAGCTTCAACGTAAAAAATTTCTGATCCTTTGACAATAACATAGATTGTTTTCAGGTGATGTATATAAATTGGAAGATTATAATGAAACTACAATGATGTTCGTTCGTCGTTTGCTTCCGATACTCGTAAATAGAGAAACAAGATCAATTTAATAAAAAGAAGTTTTTTTATTTCAACAACAAACAATTGTCAATATCAGATCATGACATAACAGTGACGCATGTCGTAATTCCTATACTTTGCGAATGTCAATGTCAATTAGTTTTAATTGTTGGGCCTAAACAAAGACCTAAATTGTATTTCTAAAACCTGTTCAATTATATGAAAATACACTGCAGATTATTGATAATCAGTCAGTGCAATTGCAATTAGCTAATCATGTAAACTCATCTTCTGACCTTTGTTTCAACCATAGGCATATTTATGAGGGCAAATACATTTTTAAGGGAGAGACTTCTCGGAAAAGTAATTTATTTATTATTTAATAGGAAATAATCTTTAATACACCAATGTTTTTAACGCGAAAAGACACTATTCTGAATTTATGTTTTTTAACAATTTTTGTTTCAGATTCAGATTCTTTATTTGCATTAAACATCGTTACATTCGTTATTTAGTTGTATATGCTTTGAGATTAATGTTTCACTAAAATACTAGTATACAAATTTTATTAAAATATCATAATTTCTATTTCACCACCGATTCAATAATTAATGTCATTTATTTGTAAAACGACGCATCACTGTATAAAACAAACGAAGTATTTAGGTTAGTTAAAAAACAGTATTACACATATTGCCTATCGAAATTAGAACATGAGTCTACGCAACCACCTAGAAGTATTAGTTTAATAAAATAATTAAATATTTTTTGTAGAACAATTTATAATATACCTCTATCCTCGATATCAAAAGATATCATAAATATTTAACTACTTTATAATTTAAATTTTTCAAATTCACTAAACCAGCATTGATAATACATAACTTTTTTTTATTTAAAGTGATGTGGTCTGTATCAAAATTATAATCGTTAGACATATTCTCTCTAATCTGTGATTACAATGTCAAACAAGCAAGTCAATCAGCTGTGTCAATCTAGTAACCAGTTTAGTGATCCCGATGCATTGTAATCGATTTTAGTTTACGATTTTCTTGTGTCCTGTAATTATTTTATATTTCTATACTAAATATTCAAACAATGGCCACTGCGGCTTTGAAAGGCCAATTCGCCACAAAAATCATACGTAAGTTTTGTTCACACATGAAAAATATTTATTAAACTCTTACATAATATTATTATAACCACAAACGGCCAAAATATTTTTGATAATATTCTAATACCTAATTACTGAAATAGGTAGTAACGCAAAACACATTGTACTGTTAAAAAAAAATACATTTTATCCCTCTATATTCACCAAAATTTCAGCCAAAAATGCTTCGATGAGCATTGTGTACATCAAGTCTGCGCAATATAGTTCTGATGGGAGGCCTAACTTAGCTGCTTACAAACGAGGTACTGGCGGACGTAGCAGTTTTAATGGCATAGTAGCCACGGTATTCGGTTGTACCGGATTTGTGGGTCGCTATGTTTGCAACAAGCTGGGCAAGATTGGCACTCAGGTGATAATATTTATATACTTTGTTTCTCAAATACAAAGGATTATTAAAAATTGTTCTGTAGAACGAAACATATTTTAACATTATATTTCAAATTCTTACCAAAGATAGATTGTACAAAGTTGGGTACCTGTATTCTATTTGTATTTCTGGTATGAAGGCTATGTTTTGGTTTGAAGGATGGAATATGGCATGGATTGAAGCATAACACCTTAGTTCTCAAGAATAATAATGAGAAATTATAGGCATCACAGTGTTTTTTGTAAAGCCTATAGTACTTTTAATGTCTACATTGACTGTTACCACTTTTTATTGAGTAAGCTAATAGATTGTTTATCAATCCATGTTCTATAAAAAGTCATAAATAATAATAATTTGTAATACACAATTATATTTTCCTTATTCATTACATTATTAAATATTCTTCTCAGATGATTCTACCATATAGGGGTGACTTCTATGATGCCCAAAGGCTTAAAGTCGCTGGAGACTTGGGGCAAGTTCTCTTTACACCTTTTGATATCCGAGATGAGGAGTCTATTGCAAAGGCAGTCCGTTATTCCAATGTGGTTATTAACTTGATTGGAAGAGATTATGAAACTAAAAACTTTAAATATATGGATGTTCATGTTGATGGACCTCGGCGAATTGCTAGGTAGGTAAATTAGTATTGGAATAAGACATCTCAGACAAACTTATCTATTCTGGAATTTAAATAGAAATATATTTATATTTTATATACTTATTCATTAATCTGTATAATATATTATAATTTTTTAAAGTTTGTGATTTTTATAAACTCTAATATATGTGTTTATATTATGAAAAAGAATAGGCTTCAAATAACCAAAGTAACTTGATTTAATAAAACATCATAAGAAAATAATTACAAAGATTATTACATTGAAATTATATATTTTATCATATTATTGTTAAAAATTTTGTAAGCTATATGTTTATGAAATTTAATTAATTATTATAATTACTACCTCAACTTAAAAATAGGTTATGTTATTAAATCTATGTCATGGTCTACAGCAAATTATTTTTTATGCCATTGAGTTGACAAGCATATGGCCCACCTTATAGTAAGTGGTTACCATAGCCTATGAATACCTGCAATACCTTAAAAAACTCTTTACCCTTTTATTAGGAACCACATACTATACTCTTGGAAAAACCTGGACAGAGAGCTCATTCCATAATTTGAGTATTTGTGGAGGAAACCACACTGTATACAACTATTTAAGCTCTAATATATGTAGGTTAATTCCTTTTTGGTGGAGAATGGTAAAAAGTGACATGTTACACAATTCCTCTGAGCACAGTCCATTGCACAAATAATAGAACTTGCAGAATGAGGCAAAATCTTTTCAAAGACTTAAGGGTTTGATACTGCTTGTAAGCCTGGAATTATCAACAATTCTCACAACTCATTGTTGTACCGAGTTGAAGGATTTAAGCTAGTGTCTAAGTGGTCCTACCCATAAATGACAGCAATACTCCATGAAAGGTCGGATTTACTACTTATAGAGCAATAATTGTTGATTCGATATGAAATATTTCTTCACTCTATTAAGCACAGTAAGTTTTTTGGATGGCAACTTCAAGTTATCTTTGCAAGCTTGCGTCTTAGCGATCCTCTCTCATCTGACTATACTGAATATAGAATAAAATAATTTAATATTATTTACTGCAAAACATCAACTTCAATCATGACAAAATTAAAATGGTCTGACATGATAAATAAACAAAAAGAAAAATATCACAGACTCCCAAAAATATGTTTTCATTATGTACCTCCTTTACATACATTTTAATTTTTAACTATTTTTTTACAATGCATGTAGTTCTTTCTACTTTATGCAACTTATATTTTCAGAATCTGCCGAGAAATGGGAGTAGAGAGATTCATTCACCTGTCTTATCTTAACGCTGAGGAAAATCCAACACCTTTGGTACTGAAAAAACCATCCTTATACAAAATTAGCAAATACCTTGGAGAATGCGCTGTAAGAGAGGAATTCCCCACAGCCACCATCTTGCGTGCCTCTGATATTTATGGCTCTGAGGACCGCTTTATAAGGTATCTAAATAAATTTCCTTGCTCTTCTAACACACTGATTGATGACTAATTTACTGTTTTTATTAATATTCTCTCTATATCAGTCTGGACATGGATATGCCTGTCTTTTCTTTACATCTTGCTTCTACTTATTTTCAGTATATTTATAATATGAATCAATTTAATTTCTAAACTGAGAAACTTTGTATGTATTTGCATTTTATAGTAAATTTTTAAAAACTGTATACATGATATGAATAAAATAATTAATCTTTCTTATTAATATATTTTTTTTCCATATTTGTATATGAATAATTATTTATAAAATCACAACTGCAGGAGTTTCGCATCTGGATGGCGAATTCACGGTCAGCTCATGCCTCTGTACAAAAATGGATTGGAGACAGTCAAACAACCTGTGTTTGTATCAGATGTAGCTCAAGGCATTGTTAATGCTATTCGTGACCTAGATACCAGATGCCAGGTCTATCAAGCCGTTGGGTCAGTATAGCTACAGTAGTACTTATCTAACTAAAAGTAACTATCTATTTTTACATACAATTATTTATTATATATATAGGTATTTGTCTGTATGTATGTAGTAGTACAAATCACCCTCTGTAATACGCCTTAAATGCATTATTATAAAAATTGGTATTAACTAACAACATGTAGAGGATTTTTTCATAAACATCATATTATTTACCTTAAATCTACTAAATAAAAAATCTGGAGGCGACATATCATTTGCAACTTTATCTCCATTTAAGTTATTTTATTGTACATTGAGTTTTAAGTATAAATTTTATAAACAAGAACTTAAGAAGCTTTACTATTTAATAGTTAATTGTAATTCCAATTCTACAGTTTGAATTACAAAAAAATATATTTACTACTATTCGTGATAATAAAATTATAACTAAACAATATAAGCCAAAGCAATTTTTAAAATAGCTGTTTTGTGATATTTCTAGCATACTTAGCAAATTTTTGCAAAACAAATTATCAACAAACTTTATGACCCTTTAAAATTGATTACACTAATTTATAATATAAAAATGAATCGCTGAATGTGTTGCTAAGAGCAAATCTCGAGAACATCTGAACCGATTTCGCTAATTCTTTTTTAGAATATTCCTTGAAGTACTAAGATGGTTATTACGGAGAGAAAATTTTAAAAAATTGCCTGTAAAAGTCTAAAAACACTTTTCTATACTCTCATACAAACGATTCGTAATAATACTTAAAAGTAAATTTGAACTTTAATACCATACCATAAAACTCAAGTGTTAGTGGAGAGGTTCCGGGAAGGCAAACAATTGAGTGACGTGGCACGGCGTTTTATAATTTTTATTTTTTGACATAATGTAATTGTTGACTTTTTAACTTTCTTCTTTTTTTATCATACTAGCTGACCTGGCATCCCGAGTAGCAGTATAAGTATTAAAAAAAATAAAGAATCGACTGTTAGGCAGTACGAAATTCGCGGGGATAGCAAGTACTAGATAATAATTCATATTGATGCGTTTGTATTTCTCATTTCAGGCCAAAAAGGTATCTATTGGCTGACTTAGTAGACTGGTTCTACAAGCTTATGCGTAAAGATGAAAAATGGGGTTATATGCGGTATGATATGAAATATGACCCAATTTTCCCTCTAAAGGTGGCGCTGGTGAATATGATTTCACCTGCATATCCTTTCGGCAACCTGCATTGGGAATCTATTGAGAAGGTAAGGTTAAGGGCTTTTTTCATGTTGCATTTGAAAAATCCAAGATTGAAATGAAAGATCATTCCACAATGAAAGCTTCCATGGCTAACTTCACAATTTCAGGTCAATGACACTTAGGTTTGACAAGTGCTATAGGCATTTATAGCCTATTAGTATACCAAAATACTATTGTACTCATAGTTTAAAGGTAGTTTATAAGTGATTTAGATTACTGTACTTATACTGTTACTTGAAAATGGAATGGTTACTTGACCTATGCCATCGATATATTACAGGACCTCAGTAAGGGAGTATTTTCCCAAAAAATTGCAATGACCGTTTGCTTGTATGTATAATTTGAAGATCTAATAGTTTTTAAATACTACTAGACATATTACACAGGGCCATGTAGTTTCAAACTCAGCTTTTCATGCTTGCTAAACGACTCATACACATATTGCACATAGAATAAAATGATTGCATTTGTGTTTATTGAAAATTATTATTATACATATACTACACAGCGTCATCTAGTCGCAAACTTAGACATGCAACAATGCTCAGATTTAATAACAAAATGTATATACGTTTATAGGAAGCGACTACTGACAAAGTGGAACCCGGCCTGCCGACACTGGAGGATCTAGGTGTAAATTTAACACAAATAGAGGACCAAGCACCGTGGGAGCTAAAACCTTTCCGCGCCTATCAATACTATATTGATCAAATTGGTGAATTTGCCAAACCAGACCCCCCTAAGGTTTACAACTGCTAAATATTTTGTGTATAACTTGTAATTCTAAATATATGTGAAATTGGTCTGGTTAATATGAATACTGTTTATTACTCCATCAAATCACATTCAATTAAAAAAAAATACTAAGTTATACCTACATGTAGTTGTGTAGATATGTCAAATAAATTATTTTCATTGTTATAACTTTTATTTAATTTAAACCTATGTAAGCATTTAATCATATTATAGTTTTTATATGATAACAAAAATTCTAAAAAAATAGTTTTGATACATGATATATTCACAAATATCATCCATTTATTTGTTGCCTCAGTAATAGAAAGAAAAATAGGAGGAGAAACCATGTGGAGTTCTATCCCCACTACTAATTTCTTTAACATATAAATATGGTTTTATATTTCATCTCTAACATTTAGTGAGATAAATAAAATACATTACATTACATTATTATATTTATTAAAACATTTTTAAGGAGCTGGCCTGCCCCTTCCAAAACCACCTCTCTGTAACAAGAAATTACTTGATATAGATTTTAACGAAAAGACCAGTACATCTAACTGGACAATGGTTTTTTTTCATAAAATTATCATTATTTGAATATGAAACCACTAACACGAAAACAAATTTTACAAAACAGCAAAGGAAATACAATTGGTTAAGCACAGAGCACTATAAAACAATGTACAGTACAGATGTAATTTGAGGTAATGGAACAATGCAAGGAACAACTAAAAATTTGGGATGTCTTGCTCTAAATTTTTCTATCAGACACATGAATTATATATTTTATATAAAAGAATATAGGCCAATTGAGAACTTCTTTTGTGTAAAAGACGTTTATACGAAATATACAATGATAAGGACAATTTAATTAACAGTGTGTACACATAAATGAAATTTTTATTATTTATGTGCAATTGTACAACAACAAACAGTAAATTGGATTTATAACCATAAATAGGCAAAAAAAGGCTATAGTACTCTAAGCTTATTATTCATTTCTTAAATAATAGATTAAACAACTTACGAATTCAAGGTCAGCGGAGCCAGGTCCGACATCAGCCTTCTTGTCATGTCCAGCAGGTGCTGGGGCAGTAGGTGCACGTCTGTACGCTGAACGGTCCTCTGCCGAACGTGCCGGCGCTTCCGAGCGACCTACGGCACCACGTCGCACTGTTTCTGTTCGCACTGATCGTTTCAGTGTTGCTGGCACAATTTCAGGGGGTAAGTGGAGGAAAATACGAAGGTATTCAATACCTTCATTTGTAAGGTACCTGAAAAATAAGTAACCTTACATATCTACAAAAAAGCTTTATAATTAATAATTGTATGGTTAATTTTTTAAAGAATGTGTAGTTAATAACTGGCCCATAACATGTATTGTTTATACCATAGTATGCAAATCTATTGCTGAATATGTTTCCCTCTAGGGGGGTTTTGCGAGTAGTTACCACACTTGGCAGTTGGATGGGCAACCACAGTTAGGCTTTGGAGATGTTTTAAGAGAGATGCTGCTGCCCATCCCTTGTCATCCTTTAGTCTTCCCTTTCTACACACATGGGAAAGGAAAGGGTAGCCTATTCTTTGCTGGGACCACACAGACTGTAAACAATATTAAAGTGAAATTTTTGACTACGCACTAAAAAATAACAAATATTAAAATCATAGAACATTCAAATAAAGTAAAATTGCCATCCGACCAAGGCATGGTGAGAACTATGTTGTAAATTATAAGTAAAACAATAATAAGTAGAAATTGCACAATAAATATTTAGAGGAAATTCTATAACAATTGGAAAGATTAAACATTCACATTTTCACATATGCTTTTTGTAACAAACTCGAATCTATAATTTTGAAAAGCCTACAGAACAAAGTGAAAAAAAAAATTTATAACATTAAGTGAAGAAACCAGAAATCTTAAAAAAGATGCTAATCATCTAACAATAATATATAAAGAAATATATAAACATTAACAGCAATGGGCCAGATATATAGTAAGCCATAAAGATAACTGAAAACATAATAACACAATCATGCAAGATGGAAAGGACTATGTGGCCAAATAAAAACTTTGAGAGAAAACTGAATCACAACAAACACAGGATAGATACAAGTGGAACAAACTGTAAGAGGCCTATACCCAAGAAGGGGTTCCTAGCCAACTAAATAAGAAAAGTAAATTAAAAAACAACTTTTTCATACTAACACAAGTACTAACATTAAATATTACAGTAATTTACTAACACAACACTCAATATGTATTGTAAGTTTTTTTTTTAAAGGAGTATGCAGAAAGTTGCCATTACATTAAAAACTTATTTGTATATTTCATTGTATATCTAATAATATTTTTACTATATTAGCTATTATGTGTTCACTGTTGAACATAAGCCTTACTCATAAGGGAGCTTTTGTCAGTAGTTGGCAGAAGGGTTGACAGGTTTATGCAGAAAGGTTTATGCTTTGGTGATGTTTTAAGAGGGACACTATTGCCCATTCCTTGACCATTAATACAAGCCATTGTAGAATGTAGTTAAAAAATTACCATAATAAAATTTTAAGGATGTTGTGTATACAAGTAACTTTAAAGTAATTGCCTTTATGATAATAAATCAGGCTCTTAGCTCCTTATTATGTATGGCTTGTTTGTTATCTCATGATTCAGGTGATTAACATGAAAGTTATACAAGTTACATGGACAAAGACATGAAAAAACCTAGTAAACTTTACCAATTATAATAGAAGTGATTTATATAGAAGTTAATCAAAACCAATACTTGTAAATAGCAAACACTCATGACGATGACAGATCTATCTCCCATTACATATCATTGCAAGAATTTACTTAAACAAAAAACAGAAAATAAGATGGTCAGTGCTTTTAATACACTTTTTTAATTAAAAATAATAATTACCAGTAGAAATGTCTCCATGCAAATTGTTCTTTGACATAACCTCTGGATTTTAGAGACTGCATAGCTTTGATGACTTGGAGGTTAGGTATCTTCTCCAAGTCTGGGTGTTTGGGTGCATGGTAATCTTTTTTTGCTACCATAACCCCCTCTTTAAAAAGGTATTCATAAATAGCAACACGATTCTGTTTTGGCATCAACATCTTGTGCCACTTGCTGAAAAACAAAGCGAATTATTTACACGCAGATTATTACACTTATATTCACTTAAGAATAATTTGGACACAAAATAAAATTACAATATAAATTAATAACTACTGCAGATTTTTAACAACACACAAAATAGTATAAAATACATAGGATTTTCAAAATAAAATAAGATTTTTAAAGAAATATACCTTTGGGCTACTTCAACAATGTAAAAGAGGTTTATATAGAAATTTGACAATGACAGTTCCAGTCAGTGTTGCCAGATAAAATGTATCGAAATACACTAAAAATTGGACTCCAGGAACCCTTAAATGGACTAAATTGAACTCTACGCCAAGAGTTCCGTATATAGATATGAAATAAAGTAGTGTTGTATTTCTTATACGAAAATAATAATAAAAAATCGTTTTTAAATCGCTTAATAACCTATAAAAATCGGTTTGAGTACAATAAAAAAGAAAAAAAATCATATTATCACTAGAACTGAAAGGCTTGAAAAATTGAATTCCCTAGCAAAGAAAATAAAAATATTCTTCTATATCTTCGTCCAATATTACCTAAAACTATTTGAAGTTTCAAGCAGATATAACTAGTAATTTCTGAAACACAACTGGAACAGACAGTTGCACGGGCTAATAAAGTCATAATATACCTCTGGATTTCAGATACACATACTGTTCAATTAGCTCCTTGTTACCTATCATACACACACTCTTACACCTATGGCTGCATATAATTATGATCTATACTTTTATATATTGTATTATGAAGGTTATACATTTTTTTTCTTTCCTTTTTTCTGATTAAAATAAATTATTTAAATAGAAAGTTCTTTGCTCAAAACCTTCCTGTATTACTCTTACATTTCATACTATTTCTTCGCACAGTGCTGCAATTGCTTAATGGCCAAATATTGACATTTTAATGACAAATTGGTGGGATAGGTGTGATTAGAAATGAAGACTAGTGGCACCATTGCTAGCAATATAACATGTCAGCTGACTTCCATACGAACTCCTAAAACTTATTTTTTATTGTATGTTTTGTTACGATAAGCCAATCAACCTGCTTTCATCTCCAGGTAGCCGGCTAATGTATAATTGCGGACAAGAGCTACCATCCTATCGTCATTGATTAAAAAATAACAAATTAGACCATCATCATATCAGCCGCTAACAGTCCACTTCTGAACATAGGCCTCCCCTAAAAGTGGAAAGTTATTGTCAATAGCCACTCTGTGCAGATAGGTAAGCAACTGCAATTAAGCTTTGATGTTTTAAAAGGGACACTGCTACCCATCCCTCGACCATTAAATTTTTTTCATCTTCTCTTACAACCAAAATAAAAGCATAGAATGAGTGGCCCACTCTATGGCGAGACCATTTAAATTAGATAAATTTGCTAATATTGTTAAAAAATCCCGCTATATATTACTTATATAAAATTATATAGTTTATAAGTAAAGTAATCATAATAGTATTTAAATAAATAATAAATGTTCCTCTGTATTAGTTTGTACGGAACCCTAAAAAGATTAAGGTACATAAAAATGTAGTTAAGAATATATTTATTCTTGTAAGATGAAACTTCACTTATAACAAATTTAAAGTTATGCCACAATAACAATACATCATGTACTGTTATTTTTTTTATAACACAGGGGACAAACGAGCATGCGGCTCACCTGATATTAAGTGACTATCACCGCCCATGATCACTCACAACACCAAACACATTGCAATACCAGCTTATTAAAAAGGAATATGCTCTATTCTTGAAGGTTATGATGTCGTTTCGATTCAGAAATACTGCTGCTCTAAATTGATTCCAAGAATGATTATACTTGGAAGAAAGTGCCTTGAAAAACGTACGATAGAAAACCGCGACATATCCAGATGGTTGGGATAAAACTTTAGTTTGCGGCGAGTTGTACGGTGATATAAAACAGCAGCAGGTAAAAATCCGAACAATTCCTCAGAGCACTCCTCATGATAAATTCGATACAAGATGCACAGACATCACCGAATTTTTTTTGGAGTTAGCTAAAATGACGACTTGTCAGTAATCGTAATTTTCGATCGCTTTGACAACCTTCAAAATAACCTAAAAGGCAAAAATGCCTAATCTGGCAATACTGGTTTGTGTTATCTTCTTTAAATATAGTTTCTCTAATCTGTGGTCTGTATAATCTGACTCTGGACATAGTCTCTGTAATCTGTGATTACTTTCTGTATTATAGACTTTACGTGATTATGAATTATAAATTTTAAATTAGTCTTGTAAAAAAAAAAGTTAATTATAAGTTTAATAATTTTTTTTATTAAGGATATAAAAAAATATAACCATATAAAATGGATTTCCAAAACCGTCCCGGCGGTAAAACTGGTGGAGGAGGCGTAGCGTCTTGGTCTGAAAGCAACAGAGATCGACGCGAAAGGCTTCGTCAGCTCGCCTTGGAAACGATTGATTTAAATAAAGATCCTTATTTTATGAAAAACCATTTAGGTATATATACCAATAAACCAATTCATGTGATATGTTTTACATAAATAATCTTAATTTTCTATAGAGTATGCTTAATGAAATTATAACCAATAAGCTAATAGCTATATATTAATCATAATTAGTAATTTCTCTCTGCCGTCTCTCGATATAGGTAATGTTTCATCTTTGCTTACATTGAATTTAAAATGACAAAGATCTTGATTGATTTTCAGGGTCTTATGAATGTAAGTTGTGCTTAACTTTACATAACAACGAGGGTAGCTACTTGGCTCATACTCAAGGGAAAAAGCACCAGGCAAATTTAGCTAGACGAGCAGCTAAGGAAGCGAAAGAAGCACCACAATTATTGGCACCGGAGAAACCGAGAATAGAACCAAAAAAGTTTGTTAAAATTGGAAGGCCAGGTTACAGAGTTACTAAACAAAAAGATCCAGAGAATGCACAACAGAGTTTATTATTTCAAGTTGACTATCCAGGTAACAATACCAATAGTAATTTATTCTATCAAAATAGTTATGTACATATGTACCTTTTTTTTTAAACCTCGAAACAACAAATAAGCTGTGGGCTACCTGATGGAAAGTGATAACTGTTACCTATACACATGAACATATTGGTATACACTGTGATATACCTAGGCTTATGCCACCATACCTTATGATTTCACTGCCTTTTCCCACTCTTGAAATGAAATTGCTGTATAAGTACAGATGCTTCTCACTATTCATATCAATTGTCTAGCATAGTATGCCTCAAAAACTACACTCTAAATCTTAAAAATAATACATACTCCACTGGAGAAACACAAGTAGAACAGAAACCCAAACTTGTACTGTCTCCCTTTGACTTGCCTTTGAATTGGGCTATAGAAAATTTTGCTTACTTAATTACATCAAGGAGATTTTATTTACAAATAATGTGCAATGAATGTTAAAATACCTATAACTTTTAACCATGATTTCATTTTTCAGAAATTGCTGAAGGAGTGCAACCTAGACATCGTTTCATGTCAGCTTATGAACAAAAGATAGAGCCTCCAGACCGTAGGTGGCAATATTTGTTATTTGCTGCTGAGCCATATGAGACCATTGCATTCAAGGTACCCAGTAGAGAGGTAGAAAAACATGACTCTAAGTTCTGGACTCACTGGAATAAGGACACAAAGCAGTTCTTTTTGCAATTTGCTTTCAAAATGGAGCCTCTGCGTATGCCACCACCACCACCAAAAATGTGGGAAAATCATGGCATGCGTTTACCACCACCTCCCGGCGCACCAATGATGGGTGTACCACCACCACCACCATTGTTACCAGTACCCCCACCTCCCCCTTCAATGTAATCATAATTGCTAACTATAAATAAAATTTAATACATATTATTCATTTTAATTCTGATTTTTTTTATTTAGTTAATCTATTATTAGTAACTATTTTTACATAAGCAACCATTTTTTAAAGTATAATAGGCATGATAGATATATTTTATATACTAGGAATTACATATATATTTATAATATATGGAACCATATATGGTATATAGAACTGGACCTATTTCTGAGAACTGCCATTTTCGGTACCAGCCTAAGTAGTGATCCCAGAAAGTGGAAAGCATCCAATTATACTCCTTAAAACATGTAACTAAGAGTTTAGTTACATGTTTTAAGGAGTGGATGTGACTGTGGATGGTTTTTTTTTGTCCTTAAGATTAGTAAAAATATTAAATTCAAAATAGGTAGTTCTTATTGGAATGTGAGGCATCAGTAGGAGATGATAGGCAAAAATGAAAGCAGATTAGTTGATTTATCGCTATGAATTCATTAGAAATTAACCACAATGGTTTCCAGGGGAAACCGCATGGATGTCGACCTGAAATTCCTAGCAATGCGGCTATTAAACCCCATTACTAACAATACCTTTCAACCAATCCAAATAGGTGATTCTTTTAATGAATGATAATGAAATGGTAATCCCCGCCTGCACTGACGGTATACACCAGGGGGGGGGACCAGTAAGGTGAGGATGAAAAATCGAAGAATCTTTTCCCCCTGGTTGGGTATATTTTTTTTAATGGATGATAATGGAATAGTAACCCCACCTGCGCTAACGGTATACACCAGCGGGGCACCAGTGAGTGATGATTAGGTGAGGAAGCAGGTCAGTTAGCCCATCGTGACGAATTTAACAAGAATTGTTTACGATGGTTTCTAGGAAGAACCACATGGAAATCGACCTAATAAGGTAAATTGCTAGAAATGGGGCTGTCAAACTCCATTGTTAACAATACCTTTCCCCCCGGTTGAGTATATTGCTAGCAATGGGGCTCTGTCTCCATTACTAACAATTCCTTCCCATTCACATATGTGAATAGGTAACTAGGTCTGACAGACCCATTACTAAAAATATACCCTATCAGGTCGACCTCCACGCGGTTCCCCTGGAAACCATCGTGGTTAATTCTTGTGGAATTTGTCACGATGGGCTAACTGATTTACTTTCATTTTTACCTCTTATATTTCACTGGTGTTCCGCTAGTGTATACTGATAGCGTAGTCAAGGTTATCATTACATTATCATCCAAAAAGAAAAATAGTGTCTGCATTAAGTACTCAAACAGTAATTAATGAGAAGTAAGTGTTGCTAGACTAACTATGGGGGGGGGGAGGCTAGATCTAATATATTTTTGCAATCCACTTCCATATAGTTGACTTTTGAACATAATACTAGTATAATATTATATGATCTGTGATAATAGTAATTATATGACTTAATTCAGCATTCTACATTTTATTAATGACCAAATGATAGGTAGTAAACTTTTTAAATTTATCATTGACAGTTTACGCCAAGTAGGGATAATGATTCTATCCAAAGGAATTTGTTCTTTATATTAATTCGAATCAGTTTCTGATATTTCGCTTCACATAAAATCGAATTTATTTTGTAGTGTTTTTATTTTTTTAGTTTGTTTGTTTGTATTTTAATTCAATTACATAAAACAAAACGAGCACTTTAATAATCGATATCATGTCATTTTAATTAATTTACATTTGTTTAGGTACATTTAAGTAATTTTAAATGTCATAGTTCTTATCAATACAGAAAAAATATAATCTTGATTTTTTGTGACTAAATATCGATATGCTGGATCGATTGATTAAATTCATCATTCTTCTCAGTTTGCATACCTTATGCCAAGTTGGCAACACTGAAAAGGTCATTTTCGCGCGCGATTCTTCATGACAAACAAAACCGTTAAAGTCTGTTAATTTCTTTATTACTTTTTTTAAATAGTGTTTCTTATATATGCTTTTATTTTTATTGTGAAAGATTTTAATAAAAATTATATTATACACATATTTAAATCATGTTTTCAAAAGCAAAACGTTTTGAAGCACCTGGTAAGTCTATTTTATGATATAATCATTATTGTATAGTTTTGTATACAGGTATTTTGATATTACAAAATTCCAATTATTTATTTATTTTAATAATTCTAATTATTTATTTACACTTTTCTAACAATGGTAGGTACTTATCTAATGTAATTAAATATAACATTAAATTTACCAACTATTTAAATTAAGTATTTTAAGTTTATATTTTAAATATTCATTTATAACATTGAAAATTTATAAATTGTTTTATATATTCTTTATTGCACAATAAAATTTGTACAAATAGTGAGCTTAATGCCATATACCAATTTCTACCAGTTAACCATTATATATATATGAACATTATATCCTCATATTATCTATGTATCATTAAGTGCAATAGTGTGAATTAAAATTATATAACTATTTAAGTACTTAGATACACTTTCAATTTAAGTATTTGGTTTTTTAACTAGAATCTCGTTTTTAGTCCTACATAAAGGCCAGTCAATAGCGAATGGACAAAAGAAGCAGGAAAATGAAAAACACAAACCAGTTAAAACTCCTATTTCGACAGAGTCAACAGGCAAATCCAAAAAGAACTATGCAAAATCTGTTGATGCCCAGTCTCAATGTAGCTCAGTCCAAAGTGTTAAATCTTTTATCACTGTAAGTATTTTTATAAAAATATCTGTGTATGGAATTCCATACAATTGTATGTATTCATAGTAGGTAGATGCTACTGAATCAAATCTTCTTCCATAATTAATTAAATAATATAAAGTGATTTATGAAGCTATCTATTAGGCACATCCTTATTTAAAAGTGTATGCAAATGAAAACATATTTTCTTTATTGCAGTTGTAAATGATATAGATAAGACAGTTATAAATATTATGAACAAGGGTGATCTTATCTCTGAAATCTCCAGCCAACCCAATAGTGACTAAGGAAGCTCATTACATGGGTGCATAGTTAGCCTTCTACCTATAGATACTTACTGTTAAATTGTATTTATGCTTATTGTTAATTAATACTTAATAGTTATAATTATCTAGTTAATAAAGTTTTTTCTGTCTTGTGACTTATATTCTTTATATACTTAATTACATTATTGATGTGGTTATAGATAAATTTATATTGTCATGTGTGGGAAATTATTTAAAATAATAATATTCCTTTCAATATCAGTCTTGATTTCTTTAATATTTCTTCATTATATATTTTGTTTATCCTTTTTATGAATCATAATAGAAAGATCAAAGTTTTGTATTTAATTAGAATACAAAATTAACTATGTATAGAATGTTTAGCATATTTTTTTTACATTACAGCCAAAGCCAATAAAATCAACAGTCTCAGTATTCAGTAATGTTAAGAAACCTTTTGGGTCTTCTACTAAAAGTAACTGCAATAAGAAAGATTTAAAACTAAAAACACAAGATGAGATTATTAAGTCACAGGAGGTAGAAATCAGGTATGATTATCATTAGTCATTTATCACTTAGATATTCCCATATAGTAATCTATGGGAACTCATTTATTATGGTCTCACCTTGAAGTTCGTTTAATGGTAATATTAATAAATTTTATTATGTTAATCCAAGATATTTTTTGGTGTTCTGTTTACCAAATTTTCAATATCAAATTTAATTCATCCACAAGTCGAAACACTCCAACTGTTATTAAAATTTAACTTCTACTTACAATTATTTTATTTCTTCTTAAAATAAGTTTATGAGAATTGTTGATGATCCCAAGCAGTATTGAACCCTTAACTCTTAGGAGAGATTATGCCTCACTCTGCATGTTCTACCGCTTGTACAACGGATTGTGCTCAAAGGAATTATTCAATATGATGCCTATGGCCATCATTTTTATCATCGTACGGCTCGCCATCGAAAGGGAGTTCACCCTCATACCCTACAGCCTAAATGGTCGCCTACAATGCGGTTTTAAAGATATTTTCTCCCACGAACACTCAGGTTATAAAAGGAATTAGCTCCCTGCCGAGGTTTTCCCAAGAAACTACATCATGGGCTTCTTCAAAAGGGGGGTAAAGAGGTTTCTTCAGGATCAACGCGCGCTCTGGTACTGTAGGCGTTCATAGGCTACGGTAACCACTTACCATTAGGTGGGCCGTATGCTTGTTTGCCACCTCAGTGATATAAAAAAATATATAAGTTCATATATATCTATACTTAGACTTGTCTTTGTGGAGTGTCGCATGCAATCTGGGGTGGTTTCTTGAAAAAAAAAATTATGTTAGCTAGTAGAAAATAAGTATGCAATCAGAGTTATTTATTACGAAATTAAAATAGAATTATTTACTTTTATATATAAAAATCTTACTTTAATTTTAACATATTTTATGTACAGGAACAAAGATGGCACTATATCAGAATATAATAAACAAATTGAAGATTTAAAAAATAAAATTTGTAACCTTCAAAAGCAAACCAAAGAACTTTTAAAACACACCAAAGTTTGTGATAATTTGAATGTACAGTTTTCTCAGATAGCTTTAAATGAAGAAATTATACCAACAAATGGAAAAAGTGAGCTTGTTGCAACTGATTATGATATTGTAATTAATAATTTAAAGCAGAAAATATATGAATTGGAACTTCAGTGTGACAGATTAGATCTAGAAGTTAGTAGTAAGCAAGTAGAATTATCATCTCTTGAAGAAATTATTGCTATTAGAGATAGTTTGTGTAAAGATTTGCAAGAAAAATTAACTTGTGTGGAAACTTCTTTAGAAGAGACTCGTCACAGACTTGAAATGGTGAAAGGCCATCATGCTCTAGCTTTGGAAGCTAATGAAAGTATTAGAAGAGAATATAAAGCTGAACTTGAGGCTTTAAAGTCTAAAGCAGAAGAAGAAAAACAATCAATCATAAGTAAAAGTAAAATAGATCAGGAAAGTATTAAAGTAAAATATAATGAATTGATTGAATCCATTAAAAATCAATTACTAAAAGAAAAAGATGAAGCAGTGTATGAACTTCAGCAGCAATTATCCACAAATGACTGTGAAATGAAAGCAAAACTTGAACAAGTCAATGAAGCTACACATGAAAAGCTAAGATTGTGTGAGATTCAATTTGAAGAACGTACTAGAAATATACAAGAAGAGTGGGCACATCAGAAATCTAAAGTTCAGTATTTGGAAAAAGAAATCAAAGACTTAAAGTACAGTTTAAATCTTGCTGAAGACCGTAGTGTAATATTACAGAGAGAAATCAACAACCTGAAAAATGAGAATGAATTGTTAAAAATTGATAAATTAAATGCAATGAAAGAAGTTGATTTAATTAAGGAAGACTCTAAGAAGAAAGTTATGAATTTCGAAAATGAAATAAATAAACTAACAGTGGAAGTTGATAGAGCAGCTAAAGAGAAAAATAAGTATGAAATGTCTTTGTCAGTCACAAGAGATATAGTACAAGTTTTAACCATGCGTTTAAGAGATACTGATAATGAATTAGAACATTTAGAAGGCAAAGTTCAGTCACTATCAAACTCAAAGGAATTACTTGATAATGAACTTGCTAAATACAAAAATACGCTCAACAACACTATTTTAGAATGTAATGAATACAAAGAGGCACTTGTTAACATATTGAAATCCAAAGCTGCACTTGCTAAAGAACATAATCGTATAATGGAACACAATGTATCTTTAATAGAAAGTTTGCAAAATGTTGAAATAGAAGCTTATAGGGAACTTGGCTCTATAAAAAATGAACTTATAGAGGATGTGGAAATGTTAAAAAAAGAATCAAATACTCAAATTCAAATGCTTCGTGATGAGGTAAATTAAACTTCTGTAATTATGATAAATATTAATTACTCAGAAGTCCCTATTATAATTTTTTACTGTAGTTAATAGCTAACAAGAGCTATTTTTTAAAATATCTCAAATACTTCAGCTTATTGAAATATAAAACATTTTATATTTCAATAAACTGACTATAGGGTTATATAAACACAATCTGTTCATATTAATATACTGCACTGTTTGTATGCCTATTTTTTCCATTAACTGCTAATAACTAAATATAAATGTGCATATTAAAGGTGGAGAAGAAAAGAGTATTATGTAAACTAGCGCAAGAGCACGCAGACCAGGCCACAACAGCCGCTGAACAATCCCGCTCCTTGCTGGCACAAGCTGCCGCCGAAATTACCCGGCTTGAAAGTGAAAACCAACGCTATCAACAACAGGTATCATAAATCACTTAATATGTACAGTTATAAGGCATTGTTTAATGCTCTATTATTATGCATATATTTGTGCATCTGCACACACTGCCAATGACATTTTTATTCGACACTTGCTGTTCCCCCGCGTTTATCAATGCATAAAGTATCCTATGTGCTTAATTAGGATATAACCTTTGTGTATGAAATTCAATTGAAACCCATTTAATATTTTTTTCGTGAAAGAGTAAAAATATCCATCTATCCTTACAAATTTTTGCATTATATTATTGGATTAACCTTTGAAGTGGTTTGAGTATCTCTACGATTTTCTTAGAGTAACAATTTATTAGGCTCAGTACTTCTATCTAATTAATTAATCGTGACAATTTAACATTAGTCTTGTCTTTATTAGATTCAAGATCAACAATCACTAGTAGTCGAGTTATCTCTGCTACGCCAGGAAAATGAAGAACTGACAATAAGTGTGGCAAAACAGTCTTCAATAATTGATAAAATGAAGAAAGAAATGGAACAAATGGAACTACCAAAACCGAAATCGCCATCAGTAATAAGAAAGCCACATAAAGTGGGCAAAGAAAATTTACAGTCTGTTCTCTCGCCACTGAGAGAACGTAATCATTAATCTGGATTTCCTTTCGCAAAGGCTAATCTTATAAATCGATCAAATTAATTTTCACTGTTATAATACCTAATATTTTACAATTGGTATTTTTAACGTTTTTCATGGTTTTTATATATAAGCATTGTTTATAATTTATTACTTTGATGTTATTGACAACTAATTTAGTAAAGGGTGATCATTGTGTATGAAAAATAAAATCGTTCTTGAAATATTTTTTATATTTTTTTGAAATCTACTATTTGTTTAACTTATAATTTTACGTAAATCTTTAAATACATATGTAAATAGTTTAATATATTTAACTAAAAAGGCCTTTAAAAATATTCATTGAACTGTAGTCTTATTGAGTTCAGTATTTATACCTCTATTGTATATATTTGAGTTTTGAAAAAGCTAATAGTTTTTCAATGTTTTTTTAATGAGTGAGAGTAGAATAGTAACCCCACCTGCGCTATCGGTATACCCTGGCAGGCCACCAGTAAAATAGATGGTAGGTGACGATGAAGATACATCAGTCGGCACATCGTGAAGAATTCGACAAGAATTAACCACGATGGTTTCCAAGGGAACTCTATGGAGAAGAAAGGTATGTGTAAAAGTAATACGAGTAGGAAGTTGAATACTACTGTTGAAAACTGCGATAATTGCGATGCAAATGCGGCTAAACTATTACATATTTGTAAGGACGACAAGATAAAGAAAATACCTATTATGTCTTCAACATCCATTTTACTAAATTTAGAATAGAATCTACAGAATGCATTAAATTTTTAATAGTAAAAAAGTGTAAGTGGCCAGTACGTGCAAAAGTAAAAAGAGTTCAATTTTCACATATTAAATCTGCAACATCTACTAAATCTAAAAGTAAATGGATGAAAATCTAAATGAAATTAAGTTTTTTTTATTTTAATGGATAAAAATGGATTGACAACCTCGTCTACGCTAGCGGGGCCCAGTGAAGGATGATAAGTTAGGATGAAACAAATCAGTTGGCTATTGGTGATAAATTCATCAAAAATTTTTCCTTGAAAACACTCTTCCCTGAAAACAATGGTTTCCAGGGAAAAGTGCGTAGAGGTCGACCTGCTAGGGTATATTACTAGTAATGGGCCTGTAAGATCTTATTACTAACGATCTCTTTTCCCCACTAGTATACGTTTTTTAATGGTTGATGATGGAATGGTAACCTTGCCTGCGCTATCGGGATACGCTGGCGGGGCAACAGTGAGAGATGATACGTGAGGATGAAAAGGCAGGACAGTTAGCCTATAGTGACAAATTCCACTAGAATTGACCACGATGATTTCCAGAGGGAACCACGTGGAGGTCGACCTGATAGGATATATGGCTAACAATGGGTCAATTAGAATCCATTACTAACAATCCCCTTCCTCCCAAGTATACGGTTAGGTTTTACCTTAATACGAGTATATACCCAGTCATATAGAAAGTCAAGATGTATGCAATTCTTTAACAAGCAAATAAATTTAGAATTCATTGTCTTATTGGCCCTGGTGTGTAAATATCGATTTCTAATATGACATCCTCCAAATTCTATTTTTCATACAAGCACTTTTAAGTAATTTAATCTGGTCACAGTTCAGCGAGGCTCTTAATTAGGATTGTATATCCTATAAACAGTAATTTGTCATTAGATACCTAGTTTACTTATGAGGTATATACCTAATACAATATTAAACACCAAATATCAGTCTCACATTTATTTATTTAAATCAATTTACAAAACGATGCAAAGCTATATCTAGTAGTGCAATAACTTAAAATACATAAAGCATTTTTGGCAAGACAGTGTGAACACATTATATTAAACATACATTTTATATAAAAAAAAGATTTTATATCATTGTAATGATTGATGTAACATTTACAAAAATATAAGCTCGACAACCCATCCCCTTTTAATATTTAGGCCGCTTAAGAAGGTATTGTGACGCAGTAACTATTCAGTTTAATTGGGGATGAATCGACTTTGGAAATTTGGATCAAATCCAAAAATAACAAAAAAATACAAAATTTAAATGGATATTATTCCTCTATTGAATAAAGAAGCCCGGAAGAATGAGACAAGCTTGAACCTATTTTTTTACAATTTATTTTGTAAACTCAGAATTACCGCAAGAAAAACTGTCGTCATGACCTGTCTTGTCTTTAACCAATATAATTTTTTCTAACATGCACTATACATTGAAATATGCAAGTTTTAACATTAATGTGTCCACATTTAACATTTAATTAATACAAATGACAAAACTATTCTTACTTTCTATAAATATTAGAAATAGTTTACACAAACATCACTTTTTGACAAGTAATCAGACTTAAAATAATCACAATTAACTTGAGATACGGACATTGATTTACAACTACAAATCCTTACATAACTATGAGAATCTTTAAGAATGGAAATTTTTCTTACTTATTGGACTAAAATAATGTTTTTATTAAACACTTATCAGACGTACAAAAGGATAATTATTACAGTTATAAATGCAGGTAATATAATTTCAACTGAGGTCCCTTACAACCACGTACCATAATACAAATCAAAATACTAGAGTACTTAACTACAATCTTTTTTGAGTTTTTGGTAACATTTTGCTATTTTATTTAGGTATAATTCAGTCTTTAATAATTTTCCAAATAATTTTCTTACTTTTTACTAATGTAGAATGTGCGGTAAAAATATATAAAATACCATGAAATAAGTATCCAAAATCTTTAAGTATTCAGTCTTTACAAAAGTAAATTTATTTATGGCCCACAAAAAAAAAATATTAACAACTAAAGAAAAAAAATATAAATATAGACCGCTTTTGGTAATAAGGTTGTCTTAATGGACTTATAAGCAGTATAATGCAAAATAAATGTAGTATAAAGGTACTCAATTAATACAAATTCTAACCTTAGAGACTAAATTATATGTATCATTGGTATGATATGCATTTGTGAAAAAAAAAGCAAATACACAAAGTGAAGACATGACTGTGCAAAACAACAACAAAACAATTATATTTACTGTATAATAAGTACACTACACTATCAACTATTATGAAATCCAATTTATTGCCTACACTGTTTACAAAATAGTAATTATATCAATTTTTATTTAAATCGATTTGATTATATATTTTTAAGTAACATTGTATGTAATAAATTGGTAAGTAAAAGAATAACGATACACTGAAAAAATCACAAATTAATACTTATAAATTAGTATGTCGGACAAAAGTTTGAGCAAATCAATATAAACTACTTAGCATATAACACAAACCCTGTCAAGCTGATTTAGTAAAGCAAAATGTAATCATTGTTACTTTAAGACGCCAGCATAGATTTGTAAGCTACACATGAATATACATACACCTAATACTGACTCACTTTAATCTACATGTGCATACCTTGGCACAATATCTTCATGAATTAATAAATCGCAAACAGGAAGTCCATGAAGTGGGAGCAAATCTTGCGCTACAGCAATTAAGCCAGTTTCAGGGCCACTTAACCTGCCATGCCATACATAATAATAAAATAGTTGTTGCATTGCTGCCATAAACCGCCGCTGTTCAGGGCCCTCAGAATCAAATGTACCAAGAATGGCTTCCACATCAGAATTAATGCCAGCTAATCGAGAGCCAACTGCACCTCCACCTGCACCTTCACCCATAACCACATACATAGGTGCAGAAAGACGCATTCGAGCCAAGCTCACAAGGGGGCATAGGGTACGGATAGAAGATATTAATCCAACTAGACCTTCATATGTTTTATTGAAGTGCTTGAAGATAGACAATGTCAAATTCTTTTCACCTATGATACTAGCATTTACCATTTTTTCGACTATTTCTGTAGTCCAATTCAAATGTTTGTTTCGTAAGAGTTTTGAGTGGTCTGAATGTTGTGTTGTTCCAAATATCATTGGCCTAAATACTTTATCTTTACCAGATTCTTTGGCTTCTTTTTGAGCATCCCAACTTTCATAGGCATGAAGTCTTAGCAATTCGCCATCTAGTACTAGCCAGGAATGTTTGAATTCATCAGCAACTGGTAATATACCGCCATTACCACCCAACCAAATATCTGGAGTGTCTGACAAGATATCCATTGCAGAAATATTGCGTAAACAATCAATATCGTTACACTTGCTTATTTGTTTAAACTGGTCATTATTTTTATGAGCTTGCTCCAAGGGTTCGCCAGGAAAGATGACTGAAGGCGAAGATAACCATACTCTAGAGTACAATTTATGAGCATTTGTAACAGTAGTCAAAGCTGCAGTCAGAGTGGCTCCAGCTCTATGGCCCAATAAAGTGACAGATTCTGGATCTCCACCAAAATGTTTTATATTATACTTGATCCATTGTAATGCAACCAACAAATCACTAATTGCATAGTTTCCTGAAGTCTCGGGGTATTTAGACTTTGATATAATATCCAATGCCAAGAAGCCAAATGGACCCAGTCTAAAGTTTGGCTTTACAAATACTACTTCTTTGGTACGCGCATATAATGCAGAAGGCTGCGCAGGACTTATGCCACCAGCTAATGTATTAGCTCCAATCAATACAACAACAGGTAATTGAGAATCGTAACGAACGTGAGGTGTGACTACATCTAGAGTCAAGCAATCTTCCTCTCCAGTGATATTGCCATTCTCTAGAAATTGTATGCAAAGTGGTCCACGTTCATGTGCTTCTCGGGTACCATTCCAACACATGGTGATATTATTCAGAGGTTGGGCATATGTGAATCTTTTTTGCTTAATTGGTGGTACAGCATAGGGGATATTGTAGAACTTATAAACACCTTCATCAAGAGTTCTGAAATAAAATTTTATTGAATTTTATTTCAGTAAATAAAAGTGCAGGTATATCATGAAATGAATTACTTAAATAAACATTGTCTATTTGTAATAAAGAAACATTTGGAGCATGCCTATAAGAAGGCAGTTTGTAAAGTTGCATAATGTGACAATCATCTCTATATCATCTATACTACTGTACACTTATCCTCTTATTCATAAAAATGTCATATTCTCATAAAACTATTTTAGTTATTGAACTGTCTCTTTCTTTATAATTAAATTTACAATTTGAAAAAGTAACAACACTATAATAATTAATTTGTAAAAGATTTAATTTTTTATGAATAAGGGTAATAATAAATTAGCTCTGACAGTAAATAATACAATAGCACTCACCCTTCTACTGGTCCACATGTAGTAAGAGTGGTCATATAGCGTCCAAGCCGCAATGGACGCTCTGTTGGAGGACCAGCTTGTGCTCCAATAATGATACCTATGATGGCAGCTAACAGCACTAGCAGTACTAATGCACATACCACTATATCATCTGTAAAAATTATAAACATAATATACAACTTTTTTTATAAATACACTGTTTTTCTTTCAACTAGCATATTATTTGTACTTTTGGACAGTATTTGTTATACAAACAACAGAATATGAAAGGCAAAGCTGATGGATGTAAAAAATAGGTAGACTACTACTGAAAATACAGCCCATTAATAAAATGTTTCACTTTTAAAATATTTCTAATAAAAGATTTTTTTATTTAGTATCTTTGATTTGTAATTATTTAATATGTAGTTCCACAAAATAAAAAAATGTTAGATGGGTGTTCTGTTTGTTATCTTAAAATTTAGGAAGAATGATTGAAATATGCCAAAGTTTTTTTTTTCAGAATCTACTGAGATTTTGGAGTCAAAGCATGTCACTATCAGGATACATCATCAGTTTGTTTGTTGTTGTTTTTAATTATGCCAAAGATTTGTAATCAACTTACTTAGACAATCAGTTGTCTGTTTTGTTTCAATACAATAAAATATTGGTAATTTGAGTTAAGAACTAAGGGTAGAACAACTGTTATAAAGATAAACATTCAAAAGGTTACTTTATGTATAAAATTTGTAAAAAAAAATTACCAATAATAAATTTTTTCTGGCGAATTCGTTCTTTCAGTGGGAGTTTAGTTGCAACTTTTCCTTCCTCAGTCTCCTAAAACATTATTGTCATTTATTATTTAAATGTCACAAAAATATTATCATATATACAAGTAATACCACAATTATACTATAGAAACCAATTTAATCAGTGCTGTAAAGTTTGCCTTATTTTCCTAAGGACTAAGAATGGTCACACTTTATATTTTTGATGAACTTAATATCGACTATATTTGTCATATCATGGATCTAAACAGTAAATAAAAATATACATGTACAAAAATTTATCAGAAAAACAATATATATAGTATATATAAAATAGTGCATTGTTTTCTATCTTTTGCAGTCAGAATAATATTACTAAAATTATATAAATGAACATATGTAATTTTATATATGTGATTTATATATATAAACATACTAGCATCATCATATCAGTCTTTAAATGAACATAATCCTCCTCCTTGGGGGGGTTTTGCCAGTAGTTACCACACTTGGCAGACAGATTGGCAATTGACCAGAGGGAGACTTTGTACAAAAGTCGATTGCTTGGGTACCTCTGTCCCATTCGTGTTTCAACCGTGAAGCAGTTGTGTTTGCATGACTGTGTTTCGGTTTGAAGGGTGGGATATGGCGTGAATTTACAGGGTACAGAGGAATAACACCTGAGTCCTCAGGAATGGCAACGCATGGGGGGTATCATGGGTGAAACAGTATAGTCTGCTATGTCCATGGTACTGCTCATGTCTATAGGCGACGGTTACCACTTTCCATCAGGTGGGCCGTCAGCTTGTTTGTCATTCTAAGTTGCATAAAAAAAAAAAAAAAAAAAAAAAAAAAGTTAGGCTTTTAAGAGGTATGCTGCTACCCATCCCTCACTTTCCCTTTGTTGTCTCTTATGACACCAATGGGAAAGTAAGGGGTGGCCTATCTATGCTGGGACTACATGGCAAAACTATAAACATATAATAAAAAATATAAGCATACTATAAAATATCATAAACATGCATGATAGATAATCTCCTAAATTTTCCACTAAAATTATGATAATATTATATTCTTACAGTGTAAATAATATAGATTTATGTACAGAAACAACACACTTACAGCCATATCTAATTTAACATTTTCCATTCCATCATTTGGTGTATCAAGTTTATCTTCTAATGTTTCCATAGAAGCAAGAGTAGCTTCAGCATTTGGCATGTTTCTTTGGAATACCTTTGGATATTTGACATTAAAAAAGCTTCTTTTGTTTTCTACATTTCCATCTAAAATAAACATAATATAATAAAAATCTTTTCTCTACAATTATATTTTAAAACAGGTGTTATTATACTGATATTCCAATTTATTAGAGGAGATGGAACTACAAAAGCTAATATTGTATTGTACTTTTCAATGTTTGTACAAACGTCTTGCAGCAGAAAGAGGGAACTTTTTTTACAAGAAGTCAAGCGGTTTTTATGATTTATAATAAAATCATAAAACTAGATCAAAGACAAAGAAGCACAAGTACTATGCCCAGTTAGAAGTATAACAAAATTTGCAAAGAAACATACCACTGTCATTATTTGGTTTATGTAAAAACTGTGTAAATGGACAAGTGTGAAGAAACTGCAGCCGATTACGTTTTGGTTTAGAGATATCATCAGTCTTTTCATTTTCATTGTCTTTTTCAAGGCCAGATTCTTCTTCCTGTTTAAATAAGACATAGATATTTATAACTTATTTTAAGTAAAAATAAGCTTTAAAGCCGTATGAAGGACAAATATGAGCATTGTTACCTTCGGTTTTTCTTTGTCCAAATTTTTTGTGAAGAATCCAGGCATTTTAATAGCTCCTATGGGAATAAACTTTGGTTTCACTTCTCTACCTTGCTCCGTAACATCACCTGATAGGGCAGCTTTTACGGGACCTTCGGCGTCCACATTAAGTTCGGCACTTGCGTCCATTTTTTCATTGTCAGATTTCAACATTATTTCCTTTTCTTCAGCTTCAATTTGCTTTTTATCCGGCGTTCCCTTTTCATCCTCATTCTCCAACTTATTTATATCCATTGTACTCATGGTCTAATTAAATAAAAAATGCATTACAAAAGGTTTAGGTTCATTGATTGTATTCATTCAAAAGAACGGACTGCCTTACGATTCAAAAGATCATATATATATTAAAAAAACTACAATACTTACAAAAATTTAATATATCTGTGTATGTAATATAATGAAGTAATATATTTTTATCTTGTCTTTAACCGTGAATAAGTAAAATAATTATTTAATGAAGATGCTGAAAACCGGGAACAAACGCCATACCGGCTTCGGTCGATTCGATGTTTGTGTAAAAAAAAAAATGTGAGGATTTAAGACTAAGGACTTGTCTATGGTTCTGTGTTACTATAACATATTGTATAGATGGGCTCGTTTTTTTATTTAATGACTCGAGTAGAAATGATTAGTAACTTGAGTTGAATTTCGTGTTGATTCGGTAGCTACTTGCGAAAGATACGTGTAGATCAACCAGTAAATTTGATACTTGGCAACAGTATTTATTTCGTATTAAGAAAGTCGCTAATATTAATTTAATTAAAGAATAATTTACAATTTCGCAAAACAACATCAATGTTGACAAAATTGACATGTTACCTATCAACATGGGCGGGGAGAAATTGATAGGAATGGGGACTAGTAGCCCTATTGCTAGCAGTATAGCCTGTCAAGTCGACCTCCTCGTGATTCCCCTAGAAACCATCATTAATGATTTATTGTTAGATTCGTCACGGTGGGATAATTGACCTGCTTCATCCTCACCTATCATCCCTCACTGGTACTCTGCCAGCGTATACCGATAGCGCAGGCGGGGTTACCATTCCATTATTACCCTTTATAAAACATATTAACATAGCAATAAATTCTCAGTTAAAAAAAGAATTATGTATTAAAATCAGCTTACAATTTATTACAATAAAACAAAATTAAGGTTAATCTTAGGGGTTAACTTTAATTTTGCAAGGGAAATCTTTGGATTAACCCACTTTTTTTTTAAATTAATATAAATCTCTTTGCCAATTTAATCAGAAAAAAGATGATTTATTATAACAGAAAAAAAAAATAACTTTAATCAACAAACTTCATAAGTAAGTAACTATTAACATTTAGGAACAAATTTATGAAAAATTGTATCTACATACTTCATATATTATATCCTTAAATTTACTTACTACTAATTTGTTGACATATTTTTTGTTTCTCCCATTGACTGCCATAAAGAATGGTTCTGAACTACCTACATCTATTGATACACTGCGTTTGTTCGTAAGAGGTCGCCACTCACACCCACACACTCATTTAGAACTTTTCTTCTCCATCAGTTATTCGTTCTCATACCTCGAGTATGTGACTAGCCCACTGACACTTCACTTGCCTATCCTCCGGGCTATGTTGGTGACTTTGGTTCTTTGGCGAATATTCTCATTTTGAATTTTGTCACACAAAGAAACTCAGAACATTGCTTGCTGAGCAATTTGAAGTTTTTGCATATGGGCAAGTATTTGTGTAGGACTACGTTCCATAAGTTATCATTGACAACACACATTGGTTAAGGACCCTTGTCTTCAAAATTTGAGGTATTCTGAAAGAGATATGGCGTAGTTTTCCGAACGCTGCCCAGCTGAGTTTCATTCATCGGTTGACCTCTCGGTCGAAATTGGACTTACCGCAACTTTGAGTGTAGTATTCTTAAACATGACCGGTATAGGTGTAATATAGATATTAGACATAATTTTATTCTTGTCCATGTTCAACTTAAGACCTATCTGTTGAGAAGGACAATTGAGGCATACTATAGTCCTTCACGGATTCCGCTATGATTACTATATCATCGTCAAATTGAAGGTGACTGATGTATTCGCTATTGATGTTTGTACCATATCTTTTCCAGTCCAGAAGTTTGAAAATATCCTCCAATGCAGCTGAATATTGTTTAGGGAATATGAATATGGATGGATTTCGTACTCTGGTTCTGTACTCGGATGGACATGGTGGTCTTACTGTACATATACTTCAATACTTTGATATACCATACCTATAGTCAATCTGGCTTTCAAGTGCAATAAAAAAAAAATATAAATTACATAGATAAGACAGTTACAATATTGTGAGCAAGAGTGGATTTATCGTTGAAATACATCTTTTCCAACCAACTCAATACAATGAGAAAGCATGTAGCTAGCGGGCAGCTTAATTGTATGAGTGCTATACGAACGTCATCAATACTAATATATAAGGTACAAATAAACAGCTAAGTAAAATTTGAAGAAGTTCAATAATATTTATTGTTACTATTAATACATGTGTCATACATTAATGTAGGTGGTTAAATGCAAACAACGCGTATTTTCCATAAAAATGCAGCGCGCGATTTTTCTAGCATGCGGAAACTGTCCAGCTATTCTTAAGAACAAGGAATTACATAGAAGGAATAATAAAAACTAAATCATATGGTTGCCTCCTTTCTTATGCAGATATAATTAGTAAAAAGAGGATGAAAGCTACGCTATCAGTTGTTATTTTTCTGAATTTATAGCAAGATAGTGTATAGAAAATATTCATCTATTTTTAATGGGTGAAGATGTAATGGTACCCTCGCCCGCGCTATCGGTATATGCTGGCGGGGTACCAGAGAAAGGTGACAGGTAAGGATGAAGGAAGGTTAGTTGGCCCATAGTGACCAATTGAACAAGAATTAACCACTATGGTTTCCAGGGAGAACCGCATGGAAGTAGACCTGATAGGGTGTAGTGCTAAGAATGGGGCTGTTAAATCTCATTACTAACAATCACTTTTCCGTTTTTTTGTGAAGGGGTGAGGTCATTTTAGTATTGTTTAGTTTAGTTTTAGTACTGTTACTTATACTATAGTTAAAGAGAGTAAAAGAGTTATTATTAAAAACTTACACTTGTAAAAAAAATCATAAAAATCTTGATGGTCTAGAAGATATCATATTGTCAGATCTCTTGATGGTCGAGCATTTGATCACTGAACAATAAACAGATTTTCGATTTACGAGTTTCAAGACTGTATCAGTCTGAGTAATTTTTATGGATTTTTATATAAAAAAATAAGTTCGGCCAATTTAGGTTCATTTTAGCAAAATTGGGCCAAATTTAGTCAAACTGATGTTGCATAAGGCAAACAATTTAGGTAAAATAAAATAACAATTTATGATAACAACGACTATAATAATAATATTATAATTAAACAATTAATGCTTTTCTAATGCTTTAACCAATAAATCATTGATGTGTGTTATCAAATTTCTAGGATCCACTATAAGTCCAGCAGTAACCATGGCATTAGAGAATAATTGTTGCGCCACCATGTTAGCCAATTCTTTGTCATCAGAGATTAGTTTGTGTAACTTTATAATTATCGGATGCCTGAAATAGAAGATTAAATTAGTAATCTAATATTTATTTTTAAGGGCATTATTTACGACATATTATTTAAAACTGTAATGGTATATAGTCCAACAAAAAATGATTAATTTGATAAAATCTTGAATTGTCTACAACTTAAAACTGTTACAAAAGTATATATTGTGCCAAACTATCATCTTATACCTTCTTATCTGTTAGTAAATTATTTTAACTTAACTAGAGAGAGTGTATAAGGGGTATTTTAAAAGTTATGGTAATAATATATCCTCTCTCAATAATGTAATCTCATATACTATATGGGAAACTGATAATATTATATCTTTAAATACATTCCAACACATACCAACTTAATGTAAAAACTTGTAGAAATAAATAATCGTTTTATTATTATTGTTATTTAGATTAATTAATAAATAATGATTTTATATGTTGTTTTATTTTTTTTTTATACCTGGCATTAATTTCAAGCTGAGGCCTCAATAGAGCATATCGATTTTCTTCACTTAGATTTTGAGCTTGTGTTCTTATAAAATGTCGGGCGGCTGCCATTTCAGGTACAATGATGACACACGGGTGAGAGTCCAGTTTCTGCGTAGTGCGCACTTCAAATACTTTACCCGTTAAGTTGGATTTCAAAAATGTGATTATTTCATTGACTTGTGTCTGCTGAAGAGTATCACTACCTATAAAATAGTAAGAATAAATTAATATTTGAATCCAACATACGAGACAAGCTTATCGTTATCTCGGGTTGGATAAGTTATGTTTCTTGATGACGTTTACTGTGACTAGAAAGTTAGATAGAAATTTAAATGAATACAAATGGTTTTGTTGAAAGAGACAACAACAGACTCACAATGTGAACATAATGTCTTATGATTTACTCACAACGACGTAAATTAATACTAAAATTTCTCTACCGTCCACCACTGTGTGATTATGATAGTCATGATCATTGCATTTATTTATGTTGAATTTACTCTTGTTTTAAATTCAGGGATATCTCCTTGAATTTAAAACATAAGTTGACGTAATTACAATACGTCAGGATCATTATTTTTTTATTTAAGAATACCTATGACTGAATCAGGTGTATCTGTTGATTCCTTCTGCATATCATTTTCGACAGAAACTAATGATCTGCCGCCAAATTCTTTCAACTCAAGAAGGACTAGTTCGTCATACATTTCGTAACAGAACAAAACTTCAAGGTCCCTTTTCTTGAGTGACTCGTAATATGGCGATGATTGAGCCAATTCTCGACTGGAAAAAAAGTATATAAGATTTTACATTATACCTAGCCATTAGTAGAGCCCATGGGACGCCAAGAGGCAATGAATAAACAAACGTTTATAATTATAATAACAAGGATTATCATCTAATAAATATTATAAATCTATAACAAACAAAAAGTCCAATTTTTTGTTTGGAAGTTGAAAGGAAAAAATAGAGGTTTACGAATGATAAAACAATATACATATGCATTACTAGCCGTTTCCCGTGGCGTTGCCTACTTCTATGTAGTTCCCGTATATCATTCTTATTGGAACTCTTCATGAATCCGGTCTTATATAGTATTATATACTTGAATGATAATTACATACTTTTATAAAGTTTCAACTAATTCAACTGACCAGTTATTTTATAACATTTTATAGATAGATAGATACTGTTTATTGTTTCCTCCGAAAGATTACAATAGTAAACTTATTATAAATATAAACAATTAAAATTTATTAATTAATTAATACAATTACAAATTATATGTGATTCTTTAGATTGATATAACTTTATTTATGAACAGATTGAAATAAAACAAACACTAAATATTAAGTGAAGTAAACCGAAACGCATTAGTGAAAAACGCGTTCAAATCGGTTAAGCCGTTTCTGAGATTAGCATGCACAAACGTACAGACAAACAGAAAAAAATTCTAAAAATTATTGTTTTGGGTTCTATTGCGCTTATAAAGCCCCCCTCATAATAGCTCTTCGTATATATCTTCCACGTACAGACAGCGACCAGTTACGATTTTATTATATGTATTGATTGGTTATAAGTTTAATTCAAAATATACTTACCTAGGGGCAGCTAGATAATAAATAGATTTTTGATCATCTTTCTGACGTTTGCTATAGTCTAGCAGAGAGGTTCGAACGCCATTTTCAAGTTTTGATGATTCAAACCTAAGTAACTTTGCAATTTCTTCCTGAAATTGAAAGAATTAAATTATTAGTATCTTTCCATATTTTAAACAAGAAATATGTACTGAGCTTGTAGCAAAGATCCAAAAACAACAAAATATTTCAAGTCTCCCATATTACCTTCTATACTTTTATATGTGTGAAAATATTTCAATGAGATTGAATACCATAAAAAAAAGTTGTTAACGATTCGATTTCATGCTGTATATATAAATATCAGAAGTATTGGCACACTCAAATATTGCTTTATTGCAGTTTATTTGCTACCCTGCACTTCTATAATTTTAGATTAATAGTACAGGATATATTTTGCTTTTAAGCAAATCATAATTAGCTAGATATAAAAATATTTAGATTGTTTATTTGTCACTTATATCACCATAAAAGGGTATCGAGTGAGTATTAGTTACTACATTATGTGCTTGTAATTTACCTTTTCAAGTGGGCTTTGGCTAGTAACAATACCCTCTTTCAAAAATATAGAATAATCTCTATAGAATGTGTCATATCCGACAGGATCTTTTTGTGACATCTCAACCATAAACTTAAGGAATCGGTTAGTAAGGACTGTCCTTAGTTTCCTGCAATACGAACATTTGTGGCATTAATTAAATCCATATAAGTATATGGAAAAACGTGTCCTATTTTAATATACTTACGTTATCAACGCACTGTTTTGCAATAATTCTCTACTAAGATTTAAAGGAATGTCTTCTGAATCAACAACACCTAAAAAAATAAATTTACATCATAATTATGTTATAAAAAATACCTTAATAAAAGGTAAGCGCTCAGAGTAGAGCTAAAAGTATTAACACTTTGCTGACCGGCTACGAGTTAACGCGTCTTTTTACATCTAAACGTTGTTGACTGGTGACGAGTAAACTTGACATTACACTAGCGTGTAAGTGCGTCCTCCTACCACGACAGGCAAGACAGTTTGGACTATAAAGCGTTCATGACCAAAAAATGACTTTCCTTTATATTTAGGGTTTTATCACAATTTTAGTTCAATTCCAAAGTTTTCACCATGACGGAATTCCTAGTCAGGAGTGTTAATTATGAATTTAAATATTATAAACATGCTTTTTTAGTTAATTTTAAACTTTTGCATTTATTACATATTACTAATAATATATTTTTTCAGATAATATTAAATTTAGATACACTATGGTCCTTACAATATCGGTGCATCGATATGTTAACGACAAAAATAGGCTACCATTACAATTGAACAAAATATTACCTTTTACAAATCGCAACCATTTTGGCAAAATATTCTCTGCTTTGCTTTTGATTAAAATTTTTCTAGAGTATAAAGCTACACCAACATCAGAATCACGAGATAATTCAAATAGTCCAGGCTTTCCTTCGGGTACGTATAATATAGATCTAATGCTGAGTGGAGCATCTGTTTTATAGTGCAGTGTGAATCTTGGCTTATCATATGAATTGCTAATAAATTTATAGAATTCTGTGTGCTGCTCTTGAGTGACTTCCTTGGGTTCCATTAGCCATAGTGGCTGTAAGGTAACATTTATTTAATTTAATAATTTAAAATATGATTTGACACATCTATTTATTTTAAAAACTTACCTTGCTGGTTACTATTTGAATCACAGATTGTTTTCTTCAGTTAATTATTTGATATAGTAATATTTTATGTATTATTTATGTATAAATATATATTTGTTAAAATTTTTGTGTATGTTTATATTAGTCTAATCATCATCATCATTGCAGCCATTATCCGTCCATTGCTGGACATAAGCCTCTCCCATAGACTGCCATGAAGAACGGTCCTGAGCCACCTGCATCCACTGACTCTTTGCAACGCATTTCAGGTCATCACTCCATTAGTCTAATATATATTTATAATATATGAATATTTTAAGTATTACTTTATGCTTTTTCATCAATCATAAATGCATCGCCTACTTATTTCTCTGTTTCCCTAATAGTTGATTGGTAGAGAACACCGTTCGGTATTACGTCCACCAAATGTACATAAATTAAAACTGTGCATTAAAGTTTTAATAAATAATTAAATATTTGGCCTATTTTGAAATTTATAAGTTTTGTGAATTAAAATTATTAAATACCAGTGATCCGGCCAGGATTCACACAGGTAAATAGAATTCTAGAAAATAATATATAACCTATATTACACGCGATAATGTTGCTTTCTGTAAGTACAATAATTTTTTAAATCAGTTGAGTAGTTTTGAGTTTGTCTATTACAAACGAACAAACAAACCTTTCCTCTATATAATATTAGTATAGATTGAGTCTTGTGGTTATAAATTGTGTGATTACATCCCCAATACCGAACTAATTTTGATAATTATTTTCGTAATCGGTACAGTTTATTCCTATGCGGTCCCTTATTAATTTTGTGATGATAGAAGGTGCTTTTGCTTTTTTTTTACAGAGCGAAAACTGCTTGTTGCAATATCAGTTAGTATTGATTAAGATTTCCGACCAACATATTGCTGTGCTCTAAACTATTTTTAATTTAAGCAAATAAACGGTTTTAATTTATGAAAACAAAAATATTAATATTTATATTATATTGATGTTTTGGCCAAAATAAAACTACCAAATGTATCAAAGCATAATTCAAATATTTGTTTTAAGCAATTAATAATATTTTTTTATTGTTACCTTGATAGAGTTGACTTGCTCATTATTTAGAAAGATAAGACTGCCTATGAAATTGCTGTATTTCTTTATTATATCTGTTAAAATAAACAATATTAATAAGCTATATAGTCCATTTAAATCAAATTAATAAAGTACTTTAAAAATGAAAAATATGAAGATCATAGATTTTCTTGTTTTATTATTTATATATGATAGTCTTCATCAATAAACATCAAGAAATGCTAAATATCTTTTGAATATATACTACTGAAGTGTAATGTTGGTACATGTGACTATACTATATAGAAATTAGAACTGCTTTTTAGCATTTAGAAACAAAAACATAAAAGATCATGAATTATAAAAAATTATATGCTATCAACATATGATCACTCAACTTACTTTTTACTGTATCATCATCGGCAAACTCCCTGCAATCTGTTTTTAGATATACTACAATTTTTGTTCCGACAGGGACACCATCAGCTTCTTGGATTTCATACATTCCTGACCTGGACAATTAATGTAATACTTGTATTATACATATTTAGTTTCTTTAAAAATATATAATATGTTGGCACTATTATTATTTTATTAGATGTTCTGATATTCTATGGTTATATTTAAGGTTTAATTATCTTACAGGACACCAAGTTTACTCTAGTACATATCATCCAAGGCTGATTGTTTATTTTCATAATAAATTATTATATTAATATTATTATTATATTAATAAATAATTCTTATTTAACAATTATTTATTTATTATATATACTAGGTATATATTTCATTCATTATTTAATGAATGAAACATAATTGTCTAATAAAAATGTAAAATCTTAAATAGATTAAACAAAATAAGAACTTTACCCATCTGACAGCCATCTGTAGCCTGGAGATCCTGATTTACTGCTTCTAGTATACACTTCAATTTTTTCAGCAACCATGAAAGCAGAATAAAAACCTACTCCAAATTGGCCTATTATTGAGCTGGCCTGTTCTGCACCTTGCTTTTTAATCTCTTCAATAAATGACTTAGAACCAGAACGGGCAATAGTGCCCAAATTTTGAGTAAGTTCCTCTTTTGTCATACCAATACCAGAATCCTAAAAATAGAAAAAAAAGGATACAATAATAAATTATCAATTACAACCACAAAGGTAGTAGTAGCATTATTTTTAATTTAGCCATATCCTATCAGCACGAATTCAGTTAAAAGTATGTATATGTTCATCATTCAGCCTATGTTTATATAGCAAAATTAATTCAAATCTGCATATAAGTAATTGAAAAACAAACATATAAATCTAAAATTGAATAAAAAATAAATAGATCTCTAAAAACTTTCACATTTATATTATTGGTTGACAATATAATATATATAGTATAGATAAATATACACCTGGAATGTAATAGTTCTATTCTGTTTGTCTGTTGTTAGCTTGATCTCCAGAGGTCTGTCTGTTTCCACCAATTGAGGAGAATCCGCTGCTGCACTTACACTTAAATAACGAAACTTTTCCAGAGCATCACTGGCATTTGAGATCAGTTCTCTTATGAATACCTGAAACATTTATCACAATATTTTAAAACATGTGTAAGCTTGTAACTGATCCTCTGTTTCAAATACTTTGCAATCTCTTAAATGTATACACATCCAGATGTCTATAGTAAATTTTTATAGTATTTTTTTCCTGACTATTAACAGATGAGTTCTAACATAATCAAAACATGGATAGTTTTAGTGCACTAAGTTTTAATCATTATACTATTGTATTACAGTGCAATCTTAATATAATGAATTGCAGGGGAACAAGTAAATATTCGTTATATCAAGTAATTCGTTAAACTGAGGTTTGTTATTATGAAGGTAGGTTCATACATTCAAAATCCAACAATGTGATTATGGAAGCCTAATCTTTATTTTGTTCATCTTGATTAGAAAAAAAGTCATAAACTGTTGTATCTTTACCACCAGTAAGAGTTATCACATCCAAAGGGCAATCCAATTTCAAGATGGATTTGACTACATCATGGCAAATTTATTAGCAAATTTTTTCCACTTAGTATTTTCGTCAAACTAAATAATGATGTTTCGTTATTCTGCATCTGATAAGGAACACCTTTTACGTTTCTGAGGTATTGCAATTAGAATCTTTAATAATAGTGATGAGCAAGACTGTTTACATTACTTCTCATCAAACAACAACATTGATTGTATTACAAAAAAAACATATCAAAACCTGTCGAGACTGAATCACATACTATGAGTTCAAGGGTCTTATTGGAATGTTATTTAATAGTTTTGAATTAACAAAATTGGTTAATAAGAAATATTTACACTTTTTTTTTGATGATTGAAAATTCATTATGAAGAGGTTGTTCACAAAAACTCTTCGCAATGTAAAGGTATATACTACATTGACTGTTATGGACAATTCAAGGGGATTACAAAAAATTCGTTGAATCCAGAGGAAGTCATTTTATAATGAAGTCATTTTATAAAAATGACTTTTTTTATATTAAGGTTGCACTGTATTATCAAATTTAAAACTATTATTTGAAAGAAAGTTGTAGGTAATAATAACAAAAAAAAAGAAAAGTTTACTTCTTTATCTGAATATAATGATCTGGCTACAATATCCAGTAACATCCGTGTTTCAGCTTGGAATTCTCTCTTCTCTGAACCACCTTTTAGTGTATCTGTTTGCTTTTGTTCTGTTGCTGTGCTGAAGCTTCTATATTTTGTAAACAATAAAGAGTTATCTGAAATAAAAACATATTTATTGAGTTCTATACTTTTCTAACTAGATTTCTTTCAATCATACGTATTATATTATCAGCTTGGGGGGAAATAAAAATAATTCCAGTTTTGTGGTTTTGGGATAGTGACAGATTAGTATTTGTTTCTTAGATTTTTAATTAAGTTAGTTGTAGAAATGGAAATCTCTGAGTTAGTTTTTGGGGATTGAGTCTTCCTTGTTTCCATATAAAAAAATTATGTGAAATTTATACAATCAAATTTATTTGTACTTCTGAAATTTTGAATAATCTGTTTTATTTTATATATATGAGCAATTATTTGCACCCATATTATATGTGTAGCTTTAGAAGAAGGAAAAGCAAGAAAATATACCAGTTCTAGATGGCATATAAAGACGAAACATATAATATCAGATTTTAAGTCAGACCTTCAGGTATATAACTGTCAAAACGGCATGTAATTTAGTGTAATAGTTTTTAGGAAGAAACACACAGAGACAGACAAATTTTCTAAAAGTTATTATTTTAGCATTTATTTATTTATATACTTTTGTACATTCACTTATACTATAAATATTAGATTACAACAAAAATGTACACAGGCGGACTTATCCCCTAAAGGATTTTTTTCCAGTCAATCTTGAGAAATCGAAAGGAGAAAGTGTCTATAGTGTTTTTATTGTTCTTATTAAGATATTTATCAAATCCTCTTAAATATTTTCCATGTACAGACATCTTTTAGTTACAGTTTTACTATATTATAATATTTAGTTTCTTAACATATCAGCATGATACTGTTTCTTAATAATCGATTTATCAAATGACTAAAAGGAGTCAAATTAACCAAAAGTAATTTTAATAAAAACTTCTCCCCCAGATCTCTAAATCCATAACTATTAGGTATTATATTTTCGATTAACGAGTTTCTGTTTGTTATATTCATGAACAATAAAATATTTATATCTCACCGGGTTCAAATCTTGCATAAATATTACCGACAGTTAAATGTCTCGATTCTTTACAGCGTAAAGCTAATGATCGTGTAGTAAAAACCACAAGCCTAAATTTCGTACGTACAGCTAACATGGTTCACTTTGGGATACAAAAATAATTATTATATATATTTGAATTGAATAAAGATAAAACAATTTTGACTATTTCAAAAAAATTTTTTTTTGTTTTATAATAATATAACCTATAAAGTACAAAAAGAAGCTTTTTCAGACTTTTTTTTTCATTTATTGTGACTAGTGATGGGATTCGAGTTGCTTTTCACTCGAGTGACTCGAGTAGTTTTTATATTACTTGCACTCGAGTTAAATTTATGACGACTCGAGTTTCGAGTGACTCGTGTCGACTCGAATTACGAGTGACTCGAGTTGACTCGTACCACTCGAGTGGTTTATACCGAGCCGAGTGAGAAATTCAAATTGTGACAAGTTTACCCGCGGTAGCAAGAAACTTTTAAGAGAGAAAATTCTTCCTGATGCTTATCATGCCGCACGCACTATAATTGTAGATATTCTACATTTAGTTGAATATACGGCTGCTACAACAGATTTATGGACTTCTGACAATAATAAAGCATACCTAACTATTACAATACTTATAATTCAAAACTTTTTTCGCAAATTATTACTACTAGAGAGGTTACGGAGAAACATTCTTCTATTATTTTAGCAAGTGTGCTAAAGTCGATATTATCGAAGCCGTTTGGTAGGGAAAAAATTGATCAATTCATTTTTTTAAAGTAGTTATTACACCAATTTCAGTTAAATTTGTTATCTCATTAAAAATACATTATTTCTGTTTTTTTTTTTGTTAAGTTTCATTTAAGTTAATTTTAAAACACGTATATTATTACATAAATTGTGTAAGAACATAATAAAATTGTTCATATTTGGATCTCATGAAAGTTCCTTGTTAGAATAAATTAAATTGGATTAGAACTTATTAGTAGTAGATTATAATATTTTAATTTGACTGATAGTTGATATAAGAGGCTTCTTGATTATGTATGACAGGTTTAGTTTGAAGGAAAAATCTATTTTTTACATTTTGTTTAGATTTTTTTTTTTGAGAAAATGAATACACATTTTCTATGTAAAATTAATACTGTTTTATTCGTTTTAAAATTTTGGTCACGCGAGTTTTATATTCCGAGTGACTCGAGTCAATAAAAATCACTCGAGTTTTATCTTCACTCGAGTGGCATTCGAGTGAGTAACTTATCAGTACCGAGTGACTCGAGTGAAAAAAAATCACTCGAGTCCCATCACTAATTGTGACTTTGGCGTTTTTAAAGAGTATAACGAAAGAATAAATGTCTATATAGTAGAAATTAAACAAGGATAGCGAGGTAAAATAGTAGCAACGTATTTTATTTAGTTTGTGGTTAGTAGGTAGGACAGTACACCGAAACCCACAGATAGAGCAGATAAGTATTACAACTATTTTGTGTTTCTACGTTAAACTAAGTCAATGGATAATTAATTGTCAGCTAAAGATTTTGGGTGTCAGCATTGGCATTACCATATTTATGAATATTCGTCCATTGTAGATCATACTAATATACGTAATAAAATTTTAAATAGATTTGAGATATTTAAGAAACGTCTGTGTATTTGTTCTGACAGCCCGAAAACTACTAATTAGGTGTAGTTTTGACAGTAGAAGATTTAATTTAAAATTTAAACTGATGTTTTATACCACGATATGCCCTCTACAAATGGTCTATTCATACCATATACTAATGATGCGAGATTTTAATAATCCGACTACTAAATATTCGACTAAGCAATTCATTCGAATTATAGGTAGATTTTCAGATTGTTCAACTACTAATTTTATTCATTCGACTATTAATTTCAATCGTCTACAAATTTCATGCATTGTACGTTTCTACTAATGGCAAATAATTCATAAGAAGTAGTCTATGTACGAGTCGATATGAACATAGCCGACATTAGGCCATCGCTTGGAATGTTCTTTTTTTTCGTTAATTTTTTTGAATTTTTTTTTTTGTTAATGGTTTCTTTTGATATTAATGAAAGTAAATTTGTAGTAATTCATTATTCTGTATATTTTAAATAAAAGGAGTCGCCAAATGCTAAGTTTTTGGTTGTCAATTATTTTATTTATTATCTCCTACTGTTAAGGTGGTGGATACAGGGAAAGAATTTTCTTTTTCTAGTAGTTAAATCGTATTCGTAATTAGTAAAAACATTCGAATACGAAAATTAAGTATATTATTAATTTAATAGTCGAATTATAAAATTAGTATTTTTCGAATGATAAAAATATTACTAATTTTTCGAATGATAAAATCGTTCGATTTGCGCATCGCTTCTATACATCAATTAGATATTAATTATTTTAATTTTTAAAACCACATGGAGGAAGTTGCGTGCAAAAGCTATTTATTTAGATTTTAAATATGATTTTAGTTTATTAATTACATAAATAATTACATGTTGGCTTTTCCATGACACAATTTCATTAAAAAAATTTTTTTTAATTTTTTTAATAACTAATAAATAGGAAATACGTTTTTGTACAAAATCTTGCGTATGTATTTGACTTATAAAATTTATGACAATTGATAACTAAAACAGTTTTCTAACATTTAATGGCATCACGGCAAATAAACTCTTCTTTAACTTTTTTTTTACGATTTAGTAGCAAAAGATAGAACTAAATCTAACTACATCATTATGGTTACTTTACAATTCTAAATCGCTCAGTAGGGGTGGCATCAACAATCAATAGTTTGCTGCTTTTAGGTATTATCAAAAATTATATTTAATAATTTAATATGTATAATTGGTAGGTTGTTAGAATGATTTGATTAAAACGCACAGACATTTATTTTTATTACGTTAATAGTTGAAATTTGTTTTCAAAATTGGCAATACTCCTTTATAGTTTTTTGAGTCACCGTCAATCAAACCAACCCGTCAAAGGCGTCAAATCAACCCAAGCAAGCGAGAAAGCGTCCGTCAGTTCGTGTTTTGGGTATCTCCATAGTTTCTAACAAAAATCTAAAATGTTAAATGACGGTTAATTTATTCTAAGTTCTATATAAAACTTTTAAATTAAATGTATTATGAAATTATTTTCCGTGAATTTTACAGTTTTATGAATCCTATGTAATTTCACGAATTTTGTGATGTACTTTGTAAGTTGTTCAAAACATTGGCGTGTTTATCGATAAAAAAAAACCTTTTTCCCTGTAATTGACTTGATAGTGTTGTGAAACTGAAATTGTATTGTTACATTTTATTTTGGAAAGGACAAACGGATTGTTTACATAAGTTAAATAAGTGTGAAAGTATCTACTGTAAACTGTCGGAGACACCATGAGTGTTGTGTTCAGAGCATTCAGGACGAGTTGCAATTATTTTATAATAGTGTTACTATCGCATTTGCGTTGCAGTACTTGAATATTCGTGTTGCGGTGGTATAGACACTAGTGCAAGATGAGAAAGCTTAGGTAAAGTGTGAAATCAACAACCGTGGAGCATCTGGTGGGAGGCGGTGGTGCGGGCGGCTTGCTGCCCGGCGCCTCGCCCGCCCAACATCCCTCTAATATGCTCCAGCCCATGGAGGAAATGATAATTCCTCCAAAACGTCAAGCTGTTGTGGATCGTCTACGGTGAGTTATTTCCTAGCATTTTCATTGCAATACTTCCAATATTTTAAGTTTTGGTAACTGTTTTAAGTATACTTACGAATTCCCTATACATTGCAACTACTGATCATCTTATTTTATAGCGCTAAGTTGTAAAGAACAACAGGTCATCTTAAATTCTTCAGTATCATAGAAAAAAATACATTTGTATGATTATATTCCCATATCGAGTCGACAGTGATGTAATGAACATTTTTTACTTTATAAACAACCTAAAAGACTATTAATATTTAATAAAGAAAAAGTTTCTCAATTCAGTTGTATTTTTTATGTTTATGCAATGTCTTTGTCAATTTCTATAATTTGTTTATCTACTAAATTTACTGTTGTGGTCTTAAGATTTTTACAAAACATTATTTTTAAATAACTTGTGCTGAAATTACAAATACAATTATTTTTTCCATATTTTACCTTGATTATACTGAAAATATAACTTCACTTTATATGTAAGTTCTCGTTTAAAACTAGAAGTATTATTAAGTGAGTAAGTGGTAACATTTTACCAGATATCCATATATTATTGGAACTGGAAAACCCCAATAACAAGTTGTAGCCCTATACTGATTATAGGTATTTTTAGGTTTCTTTTAAAATAGTAGATATGACATTTTTGATTGAATTAAAAAAAGTTATATTAATCAATATCTCAATATCTTTGTAGTTTGATGATTTTATTTATATTGTACTAGTTTTTTACCAACAGGTAAAGTAACAACTTCATATGGGTGGTTTTTAAAATTAGGAAAACCAATTAAAAGGTCCATTTCTAAATTGTCTAACAAGATAAAACATATATTAGTTTTTAACTTAGACATTTAGGAACACAACTGTGAAAACTGAATCAAGTTTAATAGTTTTTGCATAATGCCGGAATAGACATACAGGCAGGCAAATTTTTAAAAAATCATTCTTTTGGCTTCTATTGTTATTAAGGCTACCCACACTCATTTTTCTTAAATATATTTCATGTACGGTCATAATCTGGTTACAATTTTATTATATTAGTAAGATATCAAAGATTGTCTCAAATTGAATTTAAAAAATATTTTCTTTAATGTAAAAAGGAGAATGATTGATTTTGAACTGCAAACTGATTTTGTTGAAACTTGTCACACATGTGTAATTTTGATAGTACTGCAACTTAACAGAGACATGGAATTTGTATTTGATGGTGGAGAAAGAAGACAATTGAGGGAACACATAAATACTTTTATAGTAAACTATTTCATAAATCTTGATGAGAAGGGTAAGCAATCTGAAGTTGTAATATGCTGGTCACATAGTTTGAAAAACCAGCAACTGATGGGAAAGAATAGTTTTTAAGTGATGACCTCATATGGGCAAATGTAGTGTTGGATGACCCCACACTAGATGGAGTGATGACTTCAAATGCATTGTAGGAAGTCAAAATAGATAATGAGATAATGATAATGAGAATTTTATACCTAGCTGGTATGTATTTAAAATAATCAAAGATCTAGATAGAAATTAGTACATTTTATAATATATACAAAATATTAATAAGTGGTTTTCTATATTTGAATCCCATAGGTCCATATGAGTTTCAGAATGAACTTACAGACTTGTTTGTTAAAGATAACGCTAATTGCTTGCCTTGCAAAGCCAGTTTCTCAACTGGAGATATATTGGTCCCTTCTAGTTTTTTTTTTTCATTTAAGAGTTTCCTCTTGTCGGTGCAACCAATCCATGCATCTTCCTCCAGCCAGCTCTATCCCAGGTCATATCCTTTATCTCCCTATACGACATGACACCTAGTGTTTCCTTTATCTGTCCCATGTAGTTAATCCTCGGTCATCCTCTTCCTCTTTTGCCCTCTATCTTTCCTTCTACTATGCTCTTAAAAAAATCTTTATGTCGTATAAGGTGGCCCAGCATTTTGCCTCTTCTACTCTTTATTATTCACCTTCTAGTTTATTGGTCATTAATAATCATATTCCTTGGCTTTTGTAAGTGAGAGTAAAATTTTAAGTTTCTACATAAACACATTGCATCTAGCTTCAAGTTACTATTGGGGTCTCAAAATTTATTGTTTAACAATTTTTCCAGAGAAATTGTCTTTGAAAAATGTTTATGTAAAGAGCTAACTTTAAAGGAAGTGTTCCAACACTTCCTTAGAAGCCTGCTAACGATTTCGATATCACTCTGCTTAGTTTGCTATTTAATATATAAGTAGGTAATAAAATCCAATATGATATTGATATTTAATATATGAATAAGTAATAGATCTAACACTAAAAATCGGCCTAATGCCATGTTTACAGTTTCGGTGCACCCGTAGAGTGCAGTTAGTGAAATTATGTCGGAATCTATGTGCAGTATACGACGCGCTAAAACTAACGGTATCGCGCGAGCGGGCGGTTTACAAACGTTAGGCATCGTTTTATTTTCATTGTTGTTTAAATAAAATATCTATACTATAAAAATATTGTAATGATTTTCAAGTAACAAAAGACATATTAGCCATTTTTTAGAATTTATGTTTATGGTTATTGCCAAACGGCAAACTAACGTTCGTTTGTTGATAGTCACGAGAAAGTGGCTGAATGCATTCCATCGTAATTTTATAATTGAGGAGTAGTTGTTAATTCAAAAGAAAATACGGTGTATATTTTATCAGAATTGGTCAAGCGAATCTTTAGAAACTGCTCGACCCCTCTATTCTATGAAGTCGCGTGAAACCTAGGTCTTTATCAATTGTATTACCATATCTACAAAAAGTTCCCTAGATGGTGTTTATTTGTCTATCATTATACTATTATAATACATAGTTATGTTTGTTATGATATGTTCATGGTATTGCTCATTTCTATAGGCGACGGTTACCACTGTCCATCAGGTGGGCCGTCAGCTTGTTTGCCATTCTAAATTGCATAAAAAAAATTGTAATTATCAGATTACGTTTTTAAAAATTCCTTTTTTTTTAATTGGTTCAGAATAATAATGTACATATGTACGTACTACATACATATTATAATAATTTTAAAAAATGGAAACAGATTTCACATTTTTATAAATTAGTAATTCAGTATGGTCACAGATGAATAAATTACATAAATAGGATCAAACTATTTTTTTTAAGTATTGATAAATGACGAGATGAATCGTAGCCACCTTGTAACGACTCGTTTTGTTGATTCTCACATTGTAAATACTGCGAGAAGTAATTTTTGCTTCGTAAAAAAAGGCATCCGTCAAAAAATTAAGAAACTACACCTTATCGATTAAACCATATCGATTGCAAATGAATTGTAAAAAATTAATTCAAAACAAATTAAGTCTGAAAACGGTCCAAGTGTGGTGTGTATGATCTATGTTTAATAAATTTATGTTTCTGTGACTACCATCCTACTCTATCTCTCAATCCTGGCTCCCATTGGTAATTCAATAATTCATAGTAACTATTAAACAAAGATTTCCATTGTTGTATAAATCTCTTGCACTTGACGGGAATTTAAAGTATTTGAAGAGGTTTCACTTACACTTAAATGATCGAATATCTCACGAATTGCCTCGTCAATGTAAATAAACACAAATTCTTTTAAGTCAATAGAAAGATTTATATATGTAATACTGATACCACAGAATATATAATAGTACTTAAAAATAGTAATGCCGTGTCACTAGCTTTAAATTTGTGAACTCTGCACTTGTGCACGTCTCGTGTAACATACCCGAAATAAGGTGGGTGGTGTGGTGAACCTAACCTTAATCACCAACTATTTTTTCATTTGAGTATTGGGTTTTAAAGAACGAGAACGGTGTGATTTTGATCATCGTTGGAATACTATCAATATTAATCATCAATTATTAGCTCAAATTAGGTTACATCAGCCGTTAACTCTCCGTTGTTGAACATAAGCCTTCCCTATAAGGGGAGTATTGCCAGTATTTGCCACGCTTGACAAGTGGCTTACCAAACGCAGTTAGCCATTTAGTGATGTTTTAAGAGGAACGCTCCTGTTCAACCCTCTACCATTAAGTTTCCTTAGTCGCTTCTTACGACACTCACAAGAAAGTAATGGGTGATCTATTCTATGCCAGCACCACAATGCGAATTAGGTTTACGAGCTGGTTAATTAGGTATAATGTTAGTGCAGCGGTCGAGCATTAAAAATTGGCTCAGTCAGCTAGAACAAAACTTCTATCCCTCCTGAAGACACCTTCTTTGATTTAAAACATTGAACCATGAAAACTATTACCTTAATCCCTTATAAATATCTACATAAAATACTTAGAAATCTCGAGTATGTACACTGTAGCATGCCTATAACTTAGAAGTTTCATTTCCTAACTGAACTGGCGATCAATATTGCTAACGTAACTTGAGGGACGATCCCCTTTACTAATGGGATCATTTGTAGGGATACACCCTGATCGCTGTGACCTTGTTCATTTCGTAGCACTAGTAAGTAATAATTATGTTATTTAGTATTTTAGTTTTATTATATAGCCAGAACAACTAAATACTTAACGAGCAGAAAATGACATGCTTATAGCCTCACTAATGTTATAAAAATAAAAGTGAGTTTGTTTGTTACGTTTTTTCTCATTTCGACTTAAGTAATTGTCTTACAAAGTTGTATATAACATAATATTTAGGATAGAGAAGGACATACCTAATTTTTATATCTGTTAATCAATATTCTCAATTTCGTTCACGCGGACGAAGTTACGGGTAAAAGCTATTATTAATAAATAGCTATAATAGAATTGTGCCATTCCACCTCCTTCTCCCTAGAAATTATTCTTTAACAAAATGTGACGATAGCTTCTTCCCATGCTTCCACACACATTGCTAAACATAGCTTTTACCATGGCTAGTAACGACTTAATAGTCACCCCCAAAATAATGCTACATAATTCCGCGCGTAATCCAGTTGGGTTCATCAAGTGTATTTCCAGCGTAGCCTCGGTCCTTGTTTTATTGGAAATCAGACAGCACA